TGTTTAAAAAATAGTAAACAGTCGGAACTGTTTGTAAAAATAATTCTGAAGCGTAGAACTCTGCTAAAACTACCGAGAACTGCCTTCAGAACGGCAGAAAATCATCAGCACGACACATCTTCACTAAGTGTCGTGCTGGACGTAACTGTTAAAATTGTTTAAAAAATTGTTAATCATCGGAACTTTTTTTACAACTAATTCTAAAGCACAGAACTCTTTTAGAACTGTCGGAAATAATCGTTAAACCGCGGAAAATCTTCAGCACGACACTTGTCATTAAGCGTCACGCTGGGCGCGGATATAAAAAATTGTTAAAAATTATTAATTGGTGGAATATCGATCTGAAATTGTATATATGTGTGGAATTCGATTAGAACTTTCGGGAACTCTTGTTAAAATTGATAATATTCAACGCGTTTTGGTACTTTAGAGGAAAAGTGTCGTGCTAGATTCGCGAAGTTAGCACGACATTATTTCAATTTCGATTTTTTAATATAAGGAATGCGGAACTCTTTTTAATTTTTATCAGGAACTGTAGAACTATGAAAAGTGCTACCAGAACTTTTATAATTTTTTTGAAATTCGTAGAATGTCGTGCCAACTTCACAGATCCTATCAAGTTGGATTTTCTCATGTTCGTCACTATACTTATCTTCATCAACACACGTGAAAAAGAAAATGTCTTCCGGCCGGTTCAACCGGGAGTGAAAGATATTTTGGTCCAACGAAGATAAAACAAAAACGAATATGATTGGGTGTAGAAGCAGATACGCCCCGGGGCCTCAAAATCTCTCCATCAAATATTCGTTTTCGTTTCTGCTCAAAATCTCGAATCTCTCTTATAACGCCTAACCGAGCGCCTAACTCTGGATTATGTTATATTTAAGGTGTAAGTATACTTGTTATTGTTGAATAATTAACAAGAAACATTTTACGTACATAACAAAAAAAAATTATTAGATTGAATGACATTAAATGAATTATTAAATATATAATATATAATTAACAACGAATTAAATTCAATAAACTTGTTTTTTTATCCATATCCAAAGCAATACATGGGCAACAATCTAGGATATAGGTCAATATTTGTATTTTAAATTAATAACGGTAGAAATGGTAGAACGTTTATGACTCGTCGTCACGCGCGTAATTAGAATACGTGTCCGATAATGTAATTATCTGAAAAAATAGGGTAACGAAGCGACTATATAAGCAGTAATCATTAATAATCGCCAACTCATGTAGGTATTAGCATAAACATTAAGGGCGTGGAACGCATCGCCTAATGAGAGACCGTATATATTGTAGTTTAATAATTAATTAGTAATGCACAACTGGAGGTATCCGTTTTTATCACAGAATCAATTAGGAGTAAAGTGTTGGTGCTCTTTTAAAAAAAAATGTCACTTAACCCTAAATTACCATTTAAGATTTGTCGCCATTTTGTTTCGCATTTATATTTTTCTTTTGCCAAAATCTCCAAATTCTCTTTCACTTATCGGGAGTCGTATAAATAACTTGCAGCTTTTTTCTATTTGCAACCGAATACTGCAGCCTTACTAGTCGTGGAACTACAAAAGTACCGCGTAAAACCTCATGTGTTTCTCTTTGTTGTATGAGAATTGGTAAATTGAGATAACTGTTTGCGGATAATACGTTTCCTGCACTTGTGGTTGACCATCTCGGAAATGAGTTGACCGGTTATTGCTCTCGTCTCGGTTATTTTTTACACGAACCAATTTTATGCTTTGCAGAAAACAGTGTGCATGGGAAAAAATCGTTGGATTTCGATAAAGTCACGTATCTTACGATTCACCATGCAAACACCATTATCATATTATATAGTTCTATATTTATATTGCATGATGTTCAGTATTATATTCAGTCAATATTATATTTAACTAATATTTACATAATTAATTTTATTTTTTTATTGTAACATCTGCTTACCGTTTATACTACAGTATCTATGTAAAACCGTGTATAAAAGTATCTATATAAATATCTATATATAAACTCTATGTACTCGTTAGTTTTGTACGACGTCTAATCGCGTGAGTAATAAAGCAATGACTCGTCTCTCAAGCTTTATTAGGTTTCCGTCCGTAGGACCGATAGAGGCGGGAAGAGAGGCAAGCGAGGATATAGCATCGAGGTCGAGAAAAACTTCGGCGCGGCCCTGGTGCCTCGAATCCCGTGATCCAAGGCGGTGGTTTCTACGATGTGTACGACTTACTGGTGGTGACTCATCAACAAGCATTTATAATGAAACCAAGTCCTACGATATTTTCAGCTGCTGAGACGAGACGATGAAGACGATGATGATGATGATGATGAGAATGATGATGATAATAATGATGATGATGATGATAATGATTACGACGATGATGATGCCCACGAAGATAATCTCTCGCTCGGGGGATTATTAAACGTTCGCACGCCTCCGACGATTTCTTGAACGATCCTTTGAACTTTCGCCACGCGATGCCACGTGCGATGATGCCTCGGATGCGTTACATTCCCTTCGTTACGACGCGCGACGGCGGCAGTGGACGTGGAGAGCAGCGGCCATCGCTTAGTTCATTCCGTCGTTATCAGCGGCGGACCGGTAATTGTAAATATAGCTCGCGATAGTTGACAGCCTGACATGGCGCGTACGCTTCGGCATTCGAACGTGGTGAGCGGTGCGCTTTGTTAGCGCAGCGCATTGGGACTATCGCCCCTAACGACAGTACGACTTGCGGTATACGAACGTGCGCCCGAATTGATTTCATATAAATCAGACTGGAAAACTGGATGATATATTTAAAAAATACTTGATTATATTTCCAGTATATCCTATATAATGAGTTGTTAGAGCATCCAATAATTAGCACCTAATTCTGGCGTTTTCTTTTCTTTTCAATAAATGTATTGAATATTTGTTTTTTCTAGAGGAGACCAACTTAACGTTAAATCAGCCTCTCTCCATTATGTATCTAATTTTCTACCAAACGCTTCAAACACCTAATTACGTTTGCAATATAGAATTAGAATTTATTTTGAGCTGGTGGTTAACTTGATGAATATCAACTGAAAAAAAGAAGAAGCAGCAATATATATATGTATATATGAAAGAGTGGAAAAAATCGAATGAAGGCGAATTAATGCAAACTGAATATTATGAACGAAGTAAGGGTACTTGTTGTTTGTCGTTGCCGCAACGTTGCGCGTTGGCTACAATCGACGTGCATTTGCATTTGGTGAGAGCCGCTGCTCTCGTAGGCGTGCCGTGTCTTCCTCCACCTCGTCATTCATCCCTCTCTCTTCCTCCTTTCTCTCTATCTTTTTTCTCAGCACACACGGATTCTTCCTTTCAACCTCTCGACATTTCGCTTCACGAAAGAAATGAAAATTCGAGACGGAAATTCAGTTTATCACGTATTCATTTTCTGTGTGGTCGTATAGACATGAGTAGGCTGATTCATAGATGTTACGTATCAAATAATTTGATTCCATATATTACATAATAATCGCGTGATACCGTTAATCGTGGAATAAAAAATAAAACATCCCTTGCTGCTATTTCTTGTATAAATTAAATTTATACGTGCGTCTATTATCAATTTATGAAATTATTCCAAACTCCAAAGCAATAATTTGTCCTGCTCTTTTCTGTTTTCGTTTTGTTTAGGCATATTATTTACAAACATATAATGTGTGTGATTAAAATCACATATCTATATTGAATATTCAAAATAATTTAAGAGAAAGGTGTATTAGATATCCTCATTCCCTGCGGTATTAATTCTTTCAAGATATTTATATTAAATTTTCAACCAAATATACTTGAACGGTTGACACTTTAGGACACAAGGTGTCTGTGTGATAAGTATCTAATAATAAGCATGATATATTTATAATTTAAAAGGATTATTTAGATTTGAAAAACGATTGAATTTATTTGCAGTTAACATTTCACATAATAGTGTTAATTCTATATTCTTATTTTTTAAAGCATTTTGATTAAAGACATAACGACATTGTAAGTCGTAAAGAGTTGATATGCATGTCGGATTAATTAATGCACATTAAGACGTTGTCAAGATGTTCTCTATATAAATAGGCTATTTTTATTCGTGAATAAATACAATACCACTCGGAATAAAGAAATATGATGGAAATCTTGATTTAGGCAACTATATATTGTAGTAAGAAAAATTTAAGAAATTTAAAAGTTGTAATAAATATTATATATAATTTAAATAGCTCAAGTACGATAAATTGCGCACAAGTTTCGCGAGTAGTATGGCAAACAATTGTGACAACTCTATATAAATTCCAAGTTTCGATCAACTCAGGTTTTCAATAACAATGGAACCACGTAATCGTGTTACTCGAGATTTACTTGTGTGTGTGTATATATATATATCGATGTGTACTTGACGACGAGGGCGTACCGCAGATGATTATTTTGCTTTCGCTCGGGTAAATAAGCACTGTCATTTCGAGTACTTTCGCGTAACGTCGGGAACGTGGCTGGAGCAAAAAAAGAATAAGAAAAAATAATAAAACGATAAGACGCACGCACGCGCGTACGCAAATGCGAAATACGTCTCATTTCATATTAAACATTATGCGTAAGAATATATTTTTCAAGGATTATTCAACTGAAAAATCTCAGCTGAGTGAATAGTAAGCGCGCGTGAGAATATTCATTCAAAACGGAGCGTAGCCGATTCATGCACAGTAGCCTGCCAAGCTTTTAAATGCCAATGTCTGCATAAGAACAACGGGAATACAGAATATCGCGGAAAAAGTGCATACGGTTGCCGAGACTACGTGGGCAGATTCGATATCGTCTGCTACGATCACGGAGCGGAACGGAGCGGAGCGGAGTTGCAGTTTGCACTCACCAGCACTTTGGTGAAGCGCCTCTCGAGCTCGACGGCGTCCGGCATCGGCTGTCTCGGCGCGCTACGCACGCTGCCGCTGCGCGCGTGAGGTCCGCCCAGGCTGCCCATGCCCATGCCCATGCCCATGCTGGGTTGACACGAGTGATGAGGCACGCCGGCCTTGACACCGCCGACGAAAACCTCACGTACACCAACATCGCTCTCCCCGCCGCGACTCTGTACGATGCCCATGTTGTCGTTGCGTTGTCGTCTTCCTCTTCTTCGCGCGCGCGCGCGCGCGCACACGCCCGCGCGAGCTTATTCGCGCCTCCGGCGAATAAATCACGGATGGAGATTTTCGGCGACGTCGACTCGCGCCGCTGCTAGACGGCTAGACCGCCTGACGCAGCACGGCGCGACGAGGGACGTGTCGCGATGATACACACATACGTGTACGTACACACACACACACACACACACTGTCACTCGCGCGACGGCGCAGCACCCGCGCGTCTACGGGCAACAAACGTCAACAACGGGCGCGGGCGCGAACGCGGCGGTGCATCCCTCGCGCCTCGCTCAGCCTCGCTCGAGTCGCGGCCCGATGCGGCGGCCGTGAATCACTTTAGGAGGAACGCTAGCGAGCGAGCGAGACGAGCCGGTCCGTGCCTGTACGCGCAACAGGTATCGCCGGGCGGCCATCCATCGCGAATACCCGAGACTTTTGCGATTCTCGTGATGCGCGGCTTCTCTGCCCCGCGACGTATGCTCCGCCGCACAACCGCACACCACTCACCGCGTTCGCCTGAACGAAACTCGCTCACAAGACTCACACACCCACCCCGCTGAAGCTCGCGCCCGCGACTGCCCGGTGCCCGACGTCACGACCGCCCCCACCCGGGGACTCCGGAGTAGTCCGGAGAATACTCACCGCGCATGCGCGCCCGTCGATCGCGCAGCACTGTCCTCGGTGCGCGCGAGATTCAAATACAACGTAGAGTACCATGGACTTGGACCGGTATATTTCTAGCTTGATTTTATATTCAAGATTGTCCATTTCTATATCGATATAGAGTAACTTTAATCTCTAATTCTTAGAATTAGAAAAAAACAAAAAGTACTCAAGTTAAACCGAGATCTGCATCGATAGAAATGGATTACATTAAATATCGAGATACTGTACGGTTATTTACTCCAAGCACCGATCGCTTGTGTGAGTGGCTGTGATCGATCGCAACGTGATTAAATGGGACGCTCCTTCAATTAATGTTAAAACTAAATAAAATATAATTAGCTTATTTCTAAAAAAATTCATTTATTTGAATTTTGTAATAATCCAGAAATATGGTAACTGCTAAAATATAAATTTTGCACTAGCGAGAATCTGTGATATTGGGTCTGTTCGCGTTGCACTTTTTGCACTCAGCATCTTCGCTTTCTCTCTCTCCAACGGCCGAATATATATTTAGGACCTCATTTCAAGTGCAAAAATGGCTGCGTTCAGCCGAACCTCTGCTTAGAGAAGCGAAAGGTAGCACGTAAGTGTACGTGGTTGGATCCAAAGGTAAGAACCACGCAGAACCACATTCAGTTTCTACCTTTCGCTTCGCTAAGCAGAGGTTCGGCTGAACGCAGCCAATTTTGGGGATTTCAAGCAACGCGGCGAACAAGCCACGTGGTCGCGTTCAGCAGACCAAGCCGCTCAGTAGCAATCGAACGTGATTGGCTCTTACTTTTAGAACCAACCAATCAACGCAGAGTGTTGACGAGACGAACTCAACAGTTGTGCAACAGTTGTGTCTGCTTAACGCGCCCATTGGCAACATTGCGTGCCGCCAAACCGCCTCCGCCATCGAGAGAGGGAGACCTCTACTGACTCCTATCACGAGGCGAGACATCGAAGCTCATAAAAAGAAATAAGCTCTAGCCGCTCTAGGTAGAGGCACTGAGGCACGCGTCATACGTGGTCTCATACGTGTCTGTACCCTGTAATGCCCTGTATACGCCGATCCGCGCCCCGATCGTTTTGTTGTTGCGTACGTGTTAGCGTGTTGCGTCAGTGAGTGCAATGTCGAGCCGAGCCTTTTTCGGGTGATTCGCGCCAGCTAAAGGTCAAGTGATTTTCGTGGCATGTGACGTACAACCGGAAAATGGCCGAGTCCGAGCAGAGAGGTAAAGACGGTTGTAACACGGCGTCATCGAAGGAGACGATGGTGAAGCAAGAGAAGCGCGATACGCTGACGAACGGCGGGAAGGGCTCCGGTGATGACGCGGACAGCTTCGAAGAGCTGCCGCTTGACATTGGCGAGCATTACCTCGTCCGCAGGTCCGACGACTCCTGGCGTGCGTAAAAATATGATATTTCTCCTTACAACTCCGCCCTGAACCTTATTCCTCGCGTAAACGCGGATCACGGATAATCTCCATTAGTGGCCCGTGATGTTTATCAAGCACGAGCTCATAGATTAATTTTTTGGCCTTGACGTATCGACAATATTTGTCAAGATTCACCCGAACGAAGCTCAAGCACATTGTGATGATTAATTAATTAGTTGCTCGTCGTGTGTCCCTATGAGATCGTGCTACGATAAAATTAATCTTTTTTAATAGGCAGAGTTAAATGTCTGATATGACGTTATCATTGATTATCTTGCATTGTTATATAGATCCCGCTGAAATCATTCAGACGCGTTATAATGAAAATGAAAGTCACTACGAATATTATGTCCACTACGACGGACACAACAGAAGATTGGACGAATGGGTACCACGTGACAGAATCATGTCCAGCAGATTTGATATGAGTGAAATAGAGCGGCACGATAGGAGTTCCGCGACTGATCTGCTGGCAGATTCTTCCGATCGAAAAATCACTAGAAATCAAAAGAGACGTCACGATGAGATTAACCATGTGCAAAAAGTAAGTAAAAATCTATACTGAACAGACGTGTTATAGATTTAATTTATATATATATATATATATATATATATATATATATATATATATATGCTCATACAAAACATGGGGTCTGTTTCTTTTAGCTGCACTGGCTGAACTGACAAGTACTTGTCTCACTCCAACTTGATGCACCAGTTTAGTCCAGGACCCCTATTCTGTAACTCTAACGACAGTGTCGGTATCGTTATGTCGTCGTTGCGCAGCTTTTTTTCCATATAGTATACCTGCGCAACGACAACGCAACGATACCGACACTGTCGTTACAAGTTACAGAATAGGGGTCCAGTTTAGCCAGTGCAGCTGGCTAAAAAGAAACAGACCCATGTTTATGTATGTATGTATATAGCTACGTATTTTTATTATTACTGCATTTAATGCACCGTAGCATATTTTTATTATTTTAGACTTATGCAGAAATGGATCCTACTACAGCCGCATTGGAGAAGGAACACGAAGCTATAACAAAAGTCAAGTACATAGATAGAATACAGATTGGTAAGCATTATTATCCCCCATTTATATATATATATATATAGTTCCGATTAATGCAAAAAGAATCTCATGATTTTCAAAAGTTTGTTTCTAGGTAAGTACGAGATTGATACTTGGTATTTCAGTCCATATCCAGAGGAATATGGCAAACAAACAAAACTCTGGATCTGTGAATATTGTTTAAAGTACATGCGTCTCGAGAAAACTTATCGATATCACATGGTAAAATAGATCAACTATTTGCATTTGCTTCGAGTTTTTATCAAGAGCATGTATGTACCTACTATATGATTGTGATTAATCTTGTTTCACAGAGTGAATGTACCCACAGACAGCCAGTTGGCAAGGAAATTTATCGAAAAGGAACATTGAGCATTTGGGAAGTAGATGGCAGGGAACATAAAATTTATTGTCAGAATCTATGTTTGTTAGCTAAATTGTTTTTGGATCACAAAACCCTTTACTTCGACGTAGAGCCGTTTCTCTTTTATATTTTATGCGAGGTGGATAAGCACGGGGCACATTTAGTTGGCTATTTTTCAAAGGTACAGTATGGTAGATTTTAAAAAATACTTTCAAGTATTAGCTAATAAAATAAAGATTTCTTCAATGGTTTCAATACACGTTTTGCAATCATTGTTTCACATAAAAATACATGAAACTTTGTTCACGTTGATGAGAAAATCTGTTCCTATAAAAAAAAAAAAACGTTACGTCTTCGTTTTATTTTAATTATAATTTTCGAGCTTTGTCAGATTTGTACGTATTATATTATTTTTATCCTAAATTTTATTACATTTTCAGGAGAAAGAATCACCCGACGGTAATAATGTAGCATGTATTTTAACTCTGCCACCTTTTCAAAGACAGGGCTATGGTAAATTGCTGATAGCTTTCAGCTATGAATTAAGTAGAATTGAACAAACAGTTGGAAGCCCAGAAAAACCTTTAAGCGATTTAGGAAAGTTATCTTACCGCAGTTATTGGAGTTGGATTCTATTGGAAATCCTTCGAGATTTTAGAGGGACTCTTAGTATTAAAGATCTTAGGTAAGATGATATCGCGCAATCATATATTATTATATTCATTAAAATAATGATCATTTCGTAAACAGCGTATGAAAAATTTAAATTTATTTACAGTCTAATGACCAGCATCTCGCAAACTGATATCATCTCGACATTACAAAGTATGAATATGGTTAAATATTGGAAAGGGCAGCATGTTATTTGCGTCACACCCAAATTAGTGGAAGAACATATAAAAAGCAGCCAGTATAAGAGGCCGCGTCTTACAGTCGATAGCAGCGCATTGAGATGGGGAGCGCCACCTCGGAAGAACGTAAAACCCGGCAAGAAATAGTGTGCTTGGATGGGCTGATGTAATGGTATTTTTTTCACAACGATTATCCGGATACTATTTGATATATCACCTTAAAGCTCGATGTACTCTTTTATATTAATTTAATGGTGTGACATTTATAAATTTGTAACGTATCGTACAACGTACACAAACAATACGCCATTCGCCGAGTGATTAGTCGATGAGCAATACGTGATGTGCTTGATATGATACGTGTTACTAAAAAGAAGCACAACTCTTCAAGTTTTGACGAGTAGGATTCATTATTTCGGAAAAAGGTGTTGTTAAAAATTATCAAAATTAATTTTCCCGCTAATAAAAGACGTATAAACGTTCATCTTCACAACTTGATAACAGGCCTTTGCAAGTTTTATTTACAAGTGCCGTTCCGGTAAACGATACCATGCAGTATTAGACTATTCTAATTTATGTAAACCAAATAAAGAATGCGTCTGCAGACAGAAACACAAGTTTTTTTTGTCATATTTTCTGTAATACACGAATGCATGATCTACATAATTGGAAAAAATGATGAGTAAGTAGAACGAGTAATTATATTTTGGAGCTCGTAGATTTATAAAGTTGGACGGCTGAATCCACGGCTGCTCTAGCAGTTCCAGGTGCCATGCAAACTCCGTAACCACCGTGTCCATAATTATGTACAATCTATAAAAAGACACTCGATCTGCAATATCTATAAATTAATTAATATAAACTATTTTCACTGTCCAAGTACTAACTATAGCTTCAGAATGATTACTAATACGACTCCCTTCTCCGACTCTGACACCACCTTCCCGGTGTGGTCGCAAGCCGACTTCTTGCCGTGAGATTTTCGCATTTTTCAAGGACGGAACTAGCGTCTCGCATCTTTCGCGAATCGCTGCGGATTCGTACGGACACACGTTCATATTTTCGGAATCGAAGCTTCTCGAGCCACCTAAAGTAACTACACCGTTGAAGCCTGGTATGACGTAAGTATCGAGCTCGCCATAAAAGAACATTTTCATCCAAGGTGCCTTTACCTATGCAGATGAACAATTTTTGAATAAACACGTAGTGTGCGAGAAAATCTCAAGAGGAGGATCGCATTTATAGATGAAGAAAGGTTGATGATCGATTCGAGTGAGAGAAATATCGTACTTTGAGCACTTGGCCACGCAGAGAAACGAGACGTCTGTCGTTGCATAATTGGCGCGCTCCAAGCCCGGTGCAATTTATTATAATATCGTAATCGTCAATCAATTCTTTGAGAGAATTCACGTCTCTCTGCTTGAACGTAATTCCGTTTGCGTGCAATCTAGCAAAGCAATCAACTTTTACTACAGTTCTTCTACCTTTAATTAATTATGTCATACACGATTTACCGTTGTCTAGCCCATGGAAGATACAGCGTGCTTTGCGTGAGAAGAGTCGAGAAGTACGATCCATACTTCCACGTGCCATTAACCAGTTTTAATTCTTCTTCGTTCGCTCTTCTATATACCGGCACCACGTCTTCTAGCCAATGATTCTAATAAAAGTTGATACGTAGTCAGCTAAACTCTGAGATGATGCATTAAATTTTTTCGATGGATTTATTACGGAACAAGTCTTGATTTATTAGAATTTTATTTATACGCATGATGACATCACCGTCTAGATAAAAATTATTTTCTTGTCAATCTTACCTTAACAACATTCGGAGATGAATTTGCGAATATATATCCAGAAATAGCAGTCACTCCAGCACGGGAGGCATCGTTCATTTTTCGAAGGGCATCATAAAATTCGTAAGAATCTTTTATCCAGTGTCTCAAAAAAGTAAATTGATTATGATTCATAAATAAATAAATAAATATATATATATATATATATATATATATATATATATATATATATATTTATATTTATATTTAAATCTGGCTTTATAACAATTTTAGAGAATACCCGTTTTAGAGAAATGTAAAAAGAAATATCTTAAAATATCAATTTGTTTCGGAATACATACACTCTCATAGAGAGTTTGACTCCTAAGAAAACGCGCAACTTGAAAGGTGGTAAAAAGATTTCTTGTTTATACCTTGTTATTGCCTCACTAGGACCACAGAATGAAGCGCCGACTCTAAAGATCCCCGCTGCTACATGACTGACGGTATTATCAAAATCTGATGCCAAGACTGTTATGTCAGCGTTATGAAAGTACCCCGCTTGTACAAATCCGGCCGTCGTTAATCCGACGACCCCACCACCAACGACAGCTATTTTCATTTCGCTATTAACTGCAGCGTAATAAAAATAATTACAAATCAAAGATTAAACGTTGAGGAACGTCGTAGCACCACTTGACAATTATATTTGAGTGCCTGGGACGTACGAGCTATCCTTGTGCATGATAGACACACAGTAATGCTGATTAAAAGCAATAAAGTGTTTACGACTACTTGAGTGCGGTCTGCTTGTGTGCGTAGTGCGTTTCGATGGAAGAATCAACGTATGTATGTACAACTGTTATCATTGAGTGTACTTTTACCGCGCGTGATATGCATTTTTTATTAAGTATACAGCAGTGAGTAAATCGGCTGCGCATTTAATGCTTCTTCAGAAAAATAAAAATTTCATTTTAACGATCCACGTATAGACTCGTAGAATCCAGTAATGGACGTATAAAGCCCAGATCTTTATCTCTAAAATGGATATTGTTTGAGTGACGTAGCATATACGATACGAATAACCATAAGTTAATATCTGACATCATCTATGAGAGCTCTTTTATACGAAATGCAAAATACTTTGAAATTTTTACTTTCAACGTTATGCGTTAGGATAATTATGATGCATCATATATGGAGAAAATCAAGTAATACGTGACTATTATTCTTTTAATCAGATTACGTTTTTGTATACTTTATCTCATCATATATTAAAGTGTTGAATGTTTTTAAACTAAGAAAAAAATGAACGCTCTAATTTTAAATGAGTCACATGTGTATTTGTGACAAGTTAATATATAATACAATGTACATACATTGCAGTTTTTCGAATATATTCTTACTTTTATAACAAATCGTATTGACACGACGTTATCGACAATAATCGTACGTACATTATATCCATTGCCATTGCGATCCTCTAATGCAGAGTGTCTCGGAACTAATACGGGAATTGAAAAATTCCTTGCAGCAAAATAAATAAAATTTTGCTCAAAATATACTTTTGAGTTTTTGAGAAAAATGACTTGGGAAACGTAGAATCTTAAAAATCTTTAATGGTCACGTGTCATTAATTTCGTTTCAAGAGCATCATTAGCAACATGAGATGTAAAGATGCAAACATTTTTACTTTTTTACTACTAGATTATCTTTCTGATTAATAACGCTTTTCGGTAGAATGAACCATCACAGTTCAGAGACCGTCTATTCGACACGTCTCGATATCGATGATATACGAAATAGATTATTGACAGCAAGTTGATAAAAGTTACGGACGCACGGGATCAAGATTTATCAGCTTAAGATCACGCGTTCTTGGTCGGAAAAAAAAAACACGTTAATTGCGAGGATATTTACAACCGTCATTCGTAGTATATATTTTCCGACATCTTGCATCATTTTCACTTTATCATTATAAAAGTCTCACGTTCGAGACAATGTACAGTTCTTCTCATTCTTACTTCACGGTGATTTCCCGCGCACAGATTATATGTTTCGTGAGAAGAAAAAAATTGACTCGCTCCAAAAAATTTACAAAACCGATATCGCGAGTAGGGCTAGCTTAAGATTTACTGCAAGGTTGGATAGTATAATTCAGCGGAGGAGGCGGAATTAGAAGAGGCAACGGAGTCGGCGGTGGTGGAGCTTGAACAGATGTCAAGGTAGTAGTTGTGGTTTGCGGTTGTTCAACCGCTCGAACCGTTGTATTATAGATCGAAAGATAACTGGGCCAGAGATGAGGCGGCGGTGGGGAACCGGGAGGCGGCGGGGGTGGCGAACGGTCGTCCATTTCGTCGGAGTCGTCCATCATCATGGCTGTCAATGGAGTAATGCGTGGTTTCTCCAACTTGATTATCTTTACCTGTAAAAATGTAAGAAAAAAAACATGTCTTACATAATGCAACTAAAAAATATCTCTTGAAACTGAGCCTCTTTTTCTAAACATTTTTTCGCCAAATAAGAGAGAAAACAATAATCGCATACCTTGACTTTTTTCTTTGTCTTTGGTGGTCTCGTTCTCTTCTCCTGCTTTCTCGTCTTTCGTGAGCTGTAAATCTTGTCCCTTCTCAAATCCCCGAATCCATCGCGGAAACCTATTCCCTTGGGAGGAGGCGGTGAAGGCATGTCGCCTTCGCCACCGCTGGGACTGGTTCCCTCCCCAGGTTTTATGCCATCGGCGAATTGAACGGACTTTTTGTTTTTCTTTGTCTTTTTCAATTTTGCTGCACTTGATTTACCAGATTTTGCATCAGGCTCCGCGTCTCTGTCGCATTCATTATTCTTATCTATCTCTTCATCTTTGTCGCTATCGTCTTTGATGTTGTCGTCCGCATCTGATAAATCGTTCAAGTTGCCATTGGGCATCGCGTCTCTCCTGAAACAACGTCGTTTATTCGATGACGCACGAATGCAAACTAGACATAGTATATTGAATCTTGAGTAAACTCGGCAAGTCTTTTTTTTTTTTTTTACTGAGATTTCATAAAATACACGTTGCTCAATTCTTAATAAATATCAATACCGACAAAATGTAACAAAATTCTGTAATATTTCCAAGATGATTAAACTCTAATATCGACAAACCTAAATCCTGGTACAACCAAAATGCCTTTTAACGGCGGAGGTGGTAACTCGGGCCATTCCTTTTTAGTTTCGATTTCCACTTGATCTTTATTCGCCGCAGCGGACGTTGTTGTCGCTTCGTCGACTATTATTCGCTGATTAATCGTTTGTAACGGTTTTTCATCATCATCATCATCATCATCCTCGTCCTCATCTTCCGCTTCTTCTTCCTCCTCTTGCTCATCATCTTCCCCTTCAGCCTCGGCCTCGTCTTCATCATCATCCTCTTCTTCGTCCGCGGCGGCGTCCTCGTCTTCTTTAAACAATGTTGTTGCCTCCTCTTCCTCTTTTAAGGGATTAGTTGATGGAGATTCGGCTTGTTCTTCTCCTTCTTTCAATGCTTTCAAAACTGATGGATCCACAATCGCACCTTTGCGGTGATCTAATAAAACCCCACTCGGTTGTCGTGATGTCGTGCTCTTTTCCAATAACCGCAGAGCTCGTCGATTAACCCTCTCTATTCTCCTACGTTCCTTCTCCTTCCTGCGTAACTCGCGTAACCGTTTACGCTCTTCTTGTTCCTTACGGCGTGTCTCGAGTATAGCTTCGTAATTGTATACGGGCTGAACTATCTCTGCAACGCGAGGATATTCGTTCGTTGAATCATGAAATTTTCGAGATGATAAAAAGTCATTATAAACTTGTTTACATACTTGTTGGCTCCGTCCTCGCTGTTGGGAACGCTGTCGGTGTCGCGGGGGGAATCGGGACTGGCACGGGGACTGGTACTGGTACTGGCACGGGCAGTGGCATAGTCGCGACGGGAGCGAGGGTCGTCGTCGCGGCGGGTAAGGCTGGTGGCACAGGCACGGGAACCGTGGGGACGGGGACAGGTACAGACATGGGAACAAAAGGTGCCGAGGGCGAGAGTGCCGGGACTGCTGAGGAATACAAAACCCCACTTGATTGATCTGCAGTCGACGAAGATTGACCGCCGCCGCCGCCGCCGCCGCCGCCGCTGTTGCTGCTACTCCAATCTAATGATGTGGGTACTACTTGAAGGACGTTACCTACGCGAACCACTTGACTGGATCCGGATCGCACAGGCGGAGGCGCGGCTACAGCGGACACTTCCCGACGTGCCGATTGTTGAACTCCATTGAAATCAGCAGGGACCACTTGTAAGACGTTTCCAACCTTTTAAAGCATAGGAAATAATATGTAAATTTGCTCTCGTTTTAATAAACGGACGAGAAACATATAGTGATATCTCAAGTGTCAAATACTTGTACAACTGTAGGCTGCTGTCTGTACATCATCTGTTGTTGCTGTTGTGGAGGAGGAGGAGATGGATATGCGACAACATTGGGGTTGAAATTAGAATATTCTGAAGCAACGGTGGAATCCTTGTTGTGTTGTTTTTTAATACCTAATTCTAATTCTAATCTGTAAAGAATACATTAGACGTGGTCATTACATTGCATAGTGCTTATTGTAGCTGATTATCCCGAATGATTAGTTTTATAGATCAACACTTGAATAAAAAAGTAAACGTGATCAACAAATTAAGAATAAAATTTTGTTGAAACCGATATATATATATATATATATATATAAGGGAATGGGTGTAGTGAGGGCCCTTACAGTGCAAATCCTTACCTATCATCAAGAGATAAACGTTTCGGGGAACTCGTAATAGACGACTCGTCTATACAAGGAGGATAAGTCAAATTCGTCTCTGTATAATAATATTCATTTCCGCCTTCAATTTCGCTTGAATATTGCAAGTTCGTAATAGCTGGGTCCACATTATTAATACCCATTTCTGAGTTCATAATGCTGCTCGTTCCCGGCACAATTCCTGTCTGAATAATAGTTTCTATGCGTCTACCTCTTTCGCCACACACGTTAAACTTTTTGTCATCGTCGTCCGCGTCCTTTTTTTCCCTTTTCATTTCATTTAACCTATCCCTTCCGGGCGAAGGAGATCTATATTCAAAAATTTACCATGGATTTTATATCACAGATACGGGAAAATCCAAAGTTTTAATGCAAATTGAATCGAATTCTACCTGGAAGGTCGCAATTCAGACATTCTGAATGCATGTTCCGGGCTTCTCAATCTTGACATGGACGTAGATTTTCCTCTCCATCTTACATCGAACGGAGATCTGCTTCTCGATCTCGATTGCGATCTCATCCTCAGTCTTGACCTTGACGTCGATCTAGAACGCGATCTCGATCTCGATCTAGATCGTGTTCGCGATCTTAGTGGTGACCAAGATCTCGAGCGTGATCTGGATTTTCGTCGAAATCGTTCTGGAGCTTGACGCACAGGCGAATACCTCGATCGCGGTGGTGTTCGATTTCGTGATCCGTGTCCTAGGTGCCCATGACGGTCCAAATCCGAAGGGTTTTTGTCTTTTTCCCACTGTCGTTCCCTTCTTGCATTAGATCTGTTTGAATAATTTTTGAATTAAAATTTTTGGCAGAAAACATTAGATGCTTCAACGAACTATTTGTATAAATAAATAAAATTATACATTTCATGTTTACATGGATTACTTGTTCAAATCTACTTAATATATGCAAAATATCTGTAAATACCTTTTCCTGTATTTTGACTGCGATTGAGGCGAAGATTGTATCATATCCCTTTCCTGACTTTTCTCTCTATAATACGACCGATCGTCATATTCATCAGGAGGCAAATCCTGTCCAACGATGTACGAATCTATGGATTCGTTACCATCTCGTAAAATACCGCTGTTTTCATATTGCCAAAACGTATGATCCACGTCTTGTGTGTGAAATCTAAACAACATTTATCTCATGTACATTATTGTGTTTTACATGTTTGTAAAAGTACAGTACACAACGCTCTCAAGTCGCCTATTGTCTCGTCTTTATACCAAGCTGTTTGCGAATGCAAGTGATACGAGAAAAGTTTAGACACATTTATATGATGATCAATATTTTATAACAATACCTATTATCTCTATACTTGTCAGATTCTATTGTTCTTTCCCTCAAAATCTCCATTGGGTCATACGACCATCTAGTATCCTTCTCGTGATCTCTATCCGCCGTGTCCGGTCTTCTTCTACTAACCCAGTCGTCACGCGTGCTCTTGGAAGATCCATGCTTTTTTAAGGTATCTATAAATAGATTAATATCTAACACTATAGAGTAAAACTGTTTATGTACAGAGGAACAATCGTTATAACTTTTTTTTTTTACCTTCGTTGTAACTAAAGCGTGGTGGAGATCGTGTGTATCTTTCTTTTCTTTCATCCGTTCTCGATCTGCTTGATCGCTCATCGTCATATCTATCTCTTTTTTTATCTCTGTCTCGCGTACTGGTAGTAGGTTCGTCCTTCTTCTTTGGACTTTTACTACGACTTCTGCTCCAACTATGACCGGGACTTCCACTTCCGCTTCCTTGTCGTTCCCACGAGACATAGGACGGGCTTCCGCTCCTCCTTCTTCTTCCTCGTCCCGAAGGGCTCGATCTTCTTCTATCTGCAAAATCTGCTTTGAAACTTCTGGTGTCCCTTCTGTCAGATTTCTCTGTATCGTCAGATTTCCTTTCCTTCTTGTCCTTATCATGCGACGATCGTTTCTCACTTTCTTTCTTGCTAGGACTTCTCTTCCTGTGTTCCCGGATTGGAGATCGTACGCCCGACCGGACATTAGTATCGCTTCGGTTAGTCTTTAATTTTTTTATGTCATCGTTCTTACTTTCTCTGTCGTAGTTTTCAGATTGTTCGGATCGAATAGAGACAGCCCGCTCCGATGCCGGGGATCTCGATTGTCGTGTCGCTATTATTGACGATTTGGAAACCACGGAAAATTCAGTTGTATCTAATAACGTGTTATCGGTTCCGCTCGTACTCGCTGTGCTATATCTCTGTTCGAAATGATCCGCTTGTTCGGTCGGATATTCTACGATATCATTCTTTAATGCGTGCGACTCCAACAACTTCTTTTGTATTGTTAATAGGGCCGCTGCATGTTGAACAGGATCCTGTAACGGTGTTTCTAAGATACGTTTCTGTTTTACTTGTTCGTTGGTACGACGAATTAAGAGCTGCTTAGGAATGAGTTTAAGTGCATTCTTTCCTTCATTCGCTTCGTCATCTTTCGTGTGCTGCGTTGCTGAGCTTACAGTGGAACTCGCGGCATGCTGTTTATCGCATGGTTTCTCTAAACCATACTCTTCAAAAAGATCCATCTGTTCTGTGGTATGTATTTTTAGACAACACGGTTCGTTAATTGAAATGTCGTCAAATAAATTATCAGCGGTTTTAATGTCAAAATTATTAGCAGAGTCCTTATCTTCCACGTGTACTTTTGTTAAAATACTTTTCATCTCTTCACTCGACGCACGTTTAGTATCGCGTAGCTCGGTTAATCGTAAAGGTATTCCAGATGTAGGACGTGATAGTTTGTCTGCCGTAAACAACATCTCTTTCTTTCTTTTCTCACGAGGCAGAGACGTACAAGAGCTGCTGCTCTCATTAGACACTTGTACATCCTAAAAAAAAAAAACAAAAGAAATGCTTATTTAAACAAGAGATCTAAATGTACCCTTACTATCGGAAAAGAATAAATTCAAAAAGGATCGTAGCCCAAGAACGTGTATTAAAATTATTGACCAAGATTTCATCGGAAATATTTTCATCGATATTATTTTGCTTTCAATAATATGTCTCTTTCTTCATTCATAAAATAGTTTCCCTAGGTAAGATAAAATACTCAGATAAAAATACCTACCTGAGACTTTTGAGAAAGTGCTGGAGAACTAGGACTGTATAATTCCAAGGTCTTCTCTTTGAACTTTACATCCGCGTCCAAAATTCCTTTAAATTGATCTCTAGTTTGATGCTCCTTGATGGATGCAAGCTGATCTTCATTTGTTTTTGAAATTAAATGTTTTACTGGTGTATCTTTCTTTGCTTGTACAGGTCTGCGTGCCACTTCTTCCGATGCCCATGATCTCTCCAATGATTCTCTACTCTGTGATTTTCTATGATAGAAATCTGTCAGATCAGATTTACTAGAACTTTCTGAGTAATCCGTAGTAGAAAGTTCGCCTTTTTTTGTTCTTTCAAATTCTTGTTCGCGCTTGTTAATCTTAGACCATTCGGCATATTCTTCCTCCCATACATCTTTAGCTTCTGGTTTTTCTTCGGATTGAGAGCCCATGTCCCAACGACTTTTTCTAACTCGTTTACTTGGCTTCGTAGTTAATTTATTCACGTCTTCCTTAACATTTTTTTCTTCATCCGTTTTAATCCACTCTTTTTCTATCGCGACAATATCGTTAACCTTACAAACTTCCATTTCTTCGGTATTTTTACGAAACAGAGATTCTTCCTCTATATCCCAATCGTCTGTTTTACGTTGCTTGCTCTTCTGTTCCAGAAGCATCATCTCTTCTCTTTCACCTTCTTCTTGCTCCTCCTCCCATATTCTTATCGCACACAAACGTTCCTGCTTCTTTTTCATTTCTCTTACACTTGCCTTTTCTATTGCAATATAGGTATCCGTTTTCTTATCATATCTAACTTTATTCTCTACCTTCTTCAATGAAGAACCCTGACTGCTTTTTCGTTTACTTGTAATTAGATCTGTTAATGATATCGCTTCCAGACTATCCATTTCCCACTCATCCGCTAAAAGCTGCTTTTGACATCCCTCTTTCTCGAGCTGTGTCAGGGATGGTACATTTAACGTGTTAAAATCTGTTTCTCCCCATTTCTCCTTTTTCTGTTTTTCCAATTTTTTCAAATACTTGGCTTGGTTTTGTTCGTGCAGTAGTCGTTGAGTACGACCCTTTCTTTCCCAGTTTGCAAGAAACTCGACGTTACTTTTAATATCTTTTTCCCTTCTTTTCTTCCTTTTTGTTTCACGTTCCTCATCCGATCTTGCCTCATCTTCACGAATCCTCTCTTCACTGACCGTAGATGATCCATCTTTGTCATGTTCAATATTATCTCGACTATATTTTCTTTTCTTTCGATATTTACCCTTCTCTGAGCCATCCGTCTTTTCCACGTCTCCAGTATGATCTTGACTCGAAGTATCACCATCGTTTTGCTGCATTACAGAATCCATTTCCCATTGTTCGATGAAACTTTCGTCAGACTTTCGTTCTGTTCTTTCCTCTTTCTGTTTCAAGCCGTCCGTGTCCGGTGCACCGTCAGTAATGGTTTTTTTCAGTGACGCAACTTGATCGGACCTCTTTCCATCTTCACTTGCCGCTGCTTCTTCTTTAATCTTTTTTACCGATGTCACTGGCTGTGGTATCTCTGTTCCATCCGAAGGCAAAGTTATTACAGGAGACTTTGATATTATCTCGCTCATATCTCCATTATTAATAGATTTGGCTTCTCGTGGCTTCTTCTTGGCCTTCTTTCTCTTCTTCGTACGTCGATCTGTATCACTGCTGTTGGAATCGGTGCTCATCTTTCTCTTTCGCTTTTTTTTCATTCGCGCAGTGCGTTTCGCTTTTTTCCTTTTCTTTTCAATCTTCTTCTTCTTCCGCTTTCTTTTCCTTCTTTCTTCCAAACTACTAGAGTCGCTACTACTACTGCTACTACTGTCCGTGCTATCTGAATCGGAAGAAGACGACGTACTCCGTACTTGACGTTTGCGTTTCCTTTTTTTCTTTTCCTTTTCTGAATACGAGGAGGTAGCACTACTAGATGAATCACTGCTGGACGCTATTTTCTTTTGCTTCTTCTTTTTCTTCACTTTTTTAGATTCAGTATTTTCGTCACTCAATCGTTCAACTTTGATTCTAACATTTTCCCAATCACTTGGTATTGATTTGGAATCCTCAGATTCATTATTTTTATTTGTATGTTCACGTTGTATATCATCTTCGTTAACTTGTATTTGGCAGTCTGTCGACAGAGTCGATTCCTCACATTCTGTACTCTTTATCGATGTCGATTCTTCTAGAGTTTCTTTATCTTTTCTTTCAGGTTCGTCGTTCAACGGTATTTCCATGTTTATGCCATCTTCAGCTAAATTAGATTCTATATCGAATTCATGATAACTATGTGGAGAAGTAGATTTAACAGGGTTTTTCTTTGGAGAATACTCTTCAGTCACGTCGGTTGTAGTGCATACCATCTTCATAAATTGTTCATATTCTGAAGCTAGCTTCTCATTTCCGGCAGGTTGTAACAAAGAAGGCGTCGCGGCTTCGTCCGTCGTCGTTATATTTTCCATGGTCTTTTCATTGGATTTATCATCTTCTTTGATGCCTTCAGCGTTGCAATCAATTTTGTCTTGATCCGTTACACTACAAGTTGTGGAACATGTCTCTTCTTTTAAAACAGAGAAGATGAATCATTATTATCCCAGAAATTAAAACATCCATGCTATATGCCGTATCTTTATTGTCAAAAATCACTTACGTTGAATTACGGAAACATGCAGTTTATTTACTGGTTCTTCAACTTTTTTTTTTGCCACGCTGACAGACGATATTTCATCATCTTCACTGTCCCATTTCGACTTGGGAAGCTGTACTACAGCCGTCTGCTGCCATCTGGTATCTTTTAGACACTTGGTCGCCGTTATTTGTTGATACCACGTTCGCGTTTGCTGCACCACCGTGTCCTCTGTATCAATCCTGCAATTACAAAGTTCCAGGATAGGTAAAGAAAGATTTGGATAAAATGGATATTACGATATACCGTGGTAAAGATGCTTCGCATATGTCTCGTATCTTCTCGCGACGTTCAGGAGTGACGGCTTGTAAAAGTTGCGAGATGCTCAACAGAAGAGAAGTGCGCGGATTTTCACAATATAACAACTGAAGTCCCCTTGCTGTCCGTTTCGTCAACTTGATCGATTCGGGTGGATACTTTTTGGGTCCATCAAGTCCCTCAACTGTCACGGAATGACGTTTTAAACGATGATTACTTAACAACAACATCTGTTCGAGGTAACGTGTATAATCTTGCGTTGATCTGAAAAACATGACATACAACACATATGCATTCAATATAGCGTGATATGTATTATGTATAGCGCTACACGTAGAACATAAATATATAAGATCTCAAGTTTTACTTGTAAAATTGTTATTAATACTGTACCTGGCTTTTACATTTGTTCGTTCTGACGTATCACGTCTTCTAAGATGAATGATATCGTCGAGAGTTTTACCAGATTTTCGTACTTCCGCCCATGAGTTAATACTTTTCAATAATACCTTTTCTTTCCATTTGTCTTTGTCTTTCTCTTTTTTCTCTTTGCCTTCTACTACTTCCCGTTCCGATGCATCATTTCGTCTCTCTTTTTCTTTCTTACGTTTTGTTTCAGTTCTCGCTTTCGTCTCTTCTTGCTTTTCTTTTTCCGTTCCTTTCTCATCTTTTCCTTCTCCTTTCTCGTCACGACTCGTATCTGTCTTATTACTGTCCCGTTTATCTTTATCATCTTTCTTTTTTTTGTCTTTCTTAGGCTTTTCTCTAGATGATTTTTGCGACGTAAAACGTTCTGTACTTTCATTTCGATCTTTAACATCCTGACTCGAACTATCTTTATCAGTTTTATCACGATGTCGATGCCTTCTAAAAGTACGTAATAGCCGTTTAATAGTTGATAGATCATACGAAAGAATAGTGAAAAAAATATATTTATACATAAAACGTAGGAAAAATATATATTATTGTTGATAAAAATATATTACCTTTCTGAATATTTTCGATCCATTGAATTCGTTTTACGCGCATCGTTCACTCTCTCGCGTTTACTTTTGTCTTTCGTACGTCTTGCGCTTTCAAATAAACCAGCGGCCGTCTTGCTAGCATGATTTTCGTCTTCCATACTTGCTACAAAAGAGTTTTTATCATTGAATGTCTGTGATTTATACCATCATAACTGTATAAAAGCAATACCTGCTGCCATAGCTTCTGCGAGTAACCTTTTACTTTTAGATTCCTCCCTTCGAATTTCTTCAATAGCCAGAATTTTTTCCTCTACAAACGTGTAAATTATAATTTATATACTACCACGTAGAAGCACAGAGATTAATAAATCTTATAATCTTCAAACTATCCATCTCGATTTAAATAAACATTCATTGACGAGAAAAAAAAAGTTGTGAATACTTGATACTACTATAAATATTAACCTTGGAGTTAGATATACAGGTCTATAAGAAATATTCTTTCTGCCCAAGTTATGTAACATTTAAATATCTAGGAAACCCAATGGATAGTTATGTATATAAAAATATAATATACCGTCTTGGGATAAACAGGAATGTAAATCGTAACTTTGTGTCGTCGAGATATTTCGCAGCAAAGATGAAAAAGTTTTGATAATCTACGGGCCTTTTACGATCGAGTAAAACCGTAATAAAAAATTTATCAAATATACATATTATATGCGGTAAATGAATAAATTCCGAGACTTGATATAAAGTATATATACATATAATAGTGTCTCACCTGTCTTTTTTCTCGATTTATTTGTCGTCGTATCATCTTGTACAATCTTATCTTTTGTCTTTAAAGCTCCAGTGGAATGCTGAGACACGTTTGGCTTAACCTGAGACTTGGCTAATGCTTTGAACTGATTGGCAAATGCCATCAACCGTTTTTTCGCTTGAACCTTCCCAAGTACCGGTTTCACCGGCTTTGGACTCTCCAATCTTGCGGTATCACCATCGCTCGTTTGACCTTTCGTACTATCTGGTGTTTCTGGCATTTGTATATCCAACAAGGAGATTGAAGTGTCCGGAGTTGGTTCCTCCGGAACATAAACATCTTTTGATTGCAAAGTCTCCGCACCATCTTTTTCTAATAATATAACGCAACGTGCTTAGTGAAGAATGAACGGGCTAACAAAATCCCATGATAAAATATGAACGAGATATGTTTCTTACCTGGAAGAGATGGTATCCTTTCTTCCTCTGCCATTGATGCAGAGTTTTGATAACCAAAGTTTCAATTACCCAAGTGTCACATCATTCACTCAAGTTCACGAGACTTACAAACGTAATAGAAAATAATTAGTAGCGCTTTATATATATAATATTATATATATATATATAATATTACAGCCAATAGTGAACGTGCATGTTATTTTGCAGTGTTTACAAAGATAAACGAATGATAAACGGTATCGAGTAATAAATATATCGTTGAAACCAGAGAGCTATACAAAATATGTAGTGTGATTCGTAGAATCTAATTTAGGCAAGGTACAGACAAAATTATTCACTGTTATACGATCAAAACGTTTGCTACGTGAAGCAACAACAACAAAAAATCAATTGTTTATTTGTGCTTACCTCAATTATGGAAACAAAGTAAATGTAAGGAAATTATAAACGTCAGGAAAATTATCAAGTCGTCGTGTTGTATAAAATTTGACACAGATTCGTTTGTACATATCTAATGTACAAATAGCTAATTTCACAAATAATAAGAGCATACATGCACGTTCTTAGGCTAGCCAGTCTTTGATCGGAGACGATATTTACCGTGAATCGCGATCTAAATCATCAATACGCATGATACACCTAACGATATTGATGTCACGGCACTTTACAAATTAAATTTCGCGACACACGTGAACGTATCTCGTACATTCGGCTCCAACTTTCATCAAAGTCAAACGAGACTAGTGCGTGAAGCGTGAACGTGAACCACAGCCGGACATGTTGTCCAAACTGCGAGCTGCCCGTGCTGCCAACGCTACGCGGAGAAATCAATGGGCGTTCGCGGGACAGCCATAGAGATAGAACAAAGCGTTGAGTTGCCGGCTTGAAGCGAGTTTGTCCGGTTTGTCGGAGATCCGACCAATCACTCTCGACCGCACTTGTAAATACGCCGGCTACGGTCTCGCGAGTGCGCGTGCGCCGGCGTTCTCCAAAATCTATCCATGGGGGGAGCCATTTAGCCATTAGCGAAGCAGACTCTGCAGACTGCGAACGATTAGCGACGACTAGTTTAGGTCAGTTTAGGTTAAGCGACTCGGAACTCGGAGTAGCGTGGAGTAGCGTCGAAATCATTATCATTTGAGACCTTTTTCTTCACAGGAAATTTATTCGTTCTATTTATCGTAAATCTGCGTCCAGGGAGACGCTTGCGCACGTGTGTAAAAAAGCATTCGACTAGCTTGCAGATATGGATGACAAACTTCGACAAATGGAAGATGAGATGAACAGGTATGACGCGAGTAATCTTCTTCGCGTCTCGGATTTTGTGAGGCATTACGAGATCTCATCCAAGCCTCGTTCGATTATTCTGCATCGTCCGAATATATTCCTGCATGCTATTTTGATATAGTGTAACAAAGCACACGATACATGGAGAAAGTAAAATTGAAACGTTCATCGTTTCCCAAGTGTTTGCAGGGTTTAATTCATTAAATGTAAACTTCAGATTTGAAGCTGAGATAGGAGGGCAGCTTGTAACGCCGATTGTAAGACCGGTGATCGGTGCAAACACATACAATCAGGTCGCTAGGCAATTGGAGCAACATGGACCTACCACGACGGTGGTCGCTGCGGCAGCGACATTAGCGTTTCCTCCGATGATCGGGTTTCCACCGCCGCCACCACCTCCGCCTCCTCCTCCGCCCCCGCCAATATTAATTCCTCAACAAGTAGCGCGACAAGGTAAGATTCTTGATATATGCTGTACTTTTTACAGTCTTACACTTTTACAAACGCGATACACGAGAGTTTACGGTGACACGTGTTACAGGTACGGTCCCTATTACGACGTACTCCTCGCCCGCACAAATAAGTAATCCATACATGTCAAATATGGTGGATCCATGTTTAAGCGCAACACCAAAAACGTACGATTCCGCATCAGCGCCAATGATCCATCCAGAGATCATCGAACAAATTATTAACACAAAGATCCCCGAAGACGAGGGCAAAAAGAAGCCAAAGGTTAAAGGTGTCAGTACAGCGGCTGAATTAGCTATCAGCCAAGGGAAAGCAAGCTCCATTATGGCTAACGCTAGCGCGGAGGAAAGTCACCCTAAGGGTAAAGGGAAGAAAAATAAGAAGATTATAAGGACGGCCGGTGGACAGACGTGGGAAGACCCTTCCTTGTTGGAATGGGACGAAGGTTGGTAACGAATATTTCGTGTAAAAAATTTATAAATAATACTATTTATGTGTTGCGCAGATGATTTTAGGATATTCTGCGGGGATCTGGGGAACGACGTCACCGACGAAATGCTGGTGCGAGTATTCGGCAAGTATCCTAGTTTTCAAAGAGCGAAAGTGGTTAGAGATAAACGGACAAATAAAACCAAAGGCTTCGGATTTGTGTCCTTTAAAGACCCGCAAGATTTCATCAAGGCAATGAAGGAAATGAATGGTGAGCCAAATATTTCGTCCTTTACTATATATGTATATGTTCTTTTCACGTATACGATAAATATTTTCTAGAGTTTAAGAGTGCTAGCGTTTGCACAACGCGCAATATATTTAAATAGAAAATTGATTGCGCGTCTCTCACCGTATAATGATTGATGAAAAAAAGAGAAAATACTGCATGAAGAAAGAGATGAAAACTACAATCTTGAATATTAGACGTAATTAATCGTGCAACAAAAATTGACAATATTCTGCATTTGTTGGCTCGTTCTATTGCGAAGATCAATCTCTCTCTTTCTCTCTCACTTTACGTCTCATTTTTCCTCACGATGATATTAACTGTAATCTTCAATATTGTACGTCTGCACCGCTGCTTGGTTTTATTTTCCAAAAGAACCCCAGCCGTATGATATAAACAGCTGTGGTATGGTCCAATATTGTTTTCTTGGTTGTACGGTAGATTGGCCCGTTCGTGAACCGATGCGCGAATTAGGATGTTCCGCGAACGACGTCGAACTCTCGGTCGTCGCACTCGATTCTTGTCGTTGAGACGCTATTGATATACATGTACATCCATACTGTATAAACATGTTTAAAAAATTTGTTAACATTACATTATACATTTACCCGCGGTTGTTCCAACAGCGTGATTCGATCGCGGACCATGCGGATTCATGTATAGAACAGAGAAAGGCATGCCTCCGGCACCCCAGCTACGAGACACGACGACATCTTTCTTCGTAATTTTTGTAGGAATCTGCTTGCTTGTTGGCAGAGAAGCTCGACGTTCCCGTCCCGGCTCCTCTGACATACCATCTTTCCATGATCTCAACGTAACGTCAGGTACCGGACTTGCAACGTGGCGCCGAGATTGCAATCTGCCAAGCCCAAGAAAATATTCACTGATTAATTATCTAATTCTCTAATATGATGTTGTTGAGACATTGATCGATCTCGCGACGACACAAGTTTTTTTTTAGATAAAACTTGTCGCTTGGCTGATTGTCGATCGTTAAAAATATACAGTACATGTACATGCATTACGTGTGGCGACGCGGTGCATGTTTGTACCTTAAGGTATCGCCGTCTTCTTTCGGTATAATAATGTTGCCATCGTACATTTTCGATATCGGTAACCATCCCCAGCACCAGAGTCCATCAGAGGAGCATGCTGCCTTGATCGTAGGTGCAAAACCATTGCGATTCCAAGTGTCCTTCCCATCTAATAGTGGCGCCGCATAACCGGTACGTGCCCACAATGTGTTTAATATCAATACTAGAAGCAGTCTGGAAACTGTTTCCATTCTAATCTCGTCGTCGTAATATTTAAGCGTGTCGTCCGATTAATTTACCCACGTATCGTCGCGTACGTCGCTGCATTAACCAAGTTTACGCAGCCTTGTTTCCTCTGAAGAAAAAAAATTAATGACGTGAGATACACATATATATTTTTAATAAAATATCGCGCATTTATAAATCTTGAACGTGCACGTGAGTTTATACACGTAATCGCGTAAGAATCCGACAAATAAATTTATATTCTACGCCGTTGAGCCACACAGTTTGAAAGTAAAAAGTAACGTTTGGTGGGTATTAAAATAGATGAATCTATTCGCATCTATTTACATGTATCTATTCATATGAGAATATTTTTTGTTCGCTTTTGAAATGGATAATTTATTGTAGGCCGTTCGCTTTCTCTCTCTTTCTCTCTCTCTAGGTATTTTATTTCCAACACTTCTGAAAAATGGATGACAAACACATCGTCGTGGAACGCCCCCGTGAACGTTGGCACAGTTTTAGCGGTGTATCGTAACATCGCCCATATGAATTCGTTTCGAAGCGAATGTTTACGGATAGTACAGAAGCGAACGCGCCAAAGGAACGCGTTGAACATGGAAGGAAGTCTTTCACTATCGTGCATCCCGCGTGCTCGACGCACCAACGGGTGAGCTCAAGTTCGCAGACCCGTTTGTTACTTGGCGAACATTAATCATCGCCACAATGGTGATTTTGTCGACAGGCGGGTATGCTGTTTACGTTCTTCTCTCCCACGAAATTTCTACAACGGCTGATACTATTTATACAACATTCCTCCTAATTTTAGCACCACGCTACGCGTATACACACACCGTCGCGCACACCCGTGCGACACGGCGTGACAACACAAGTTAAAGCCTATGGAGGAGAAAGATGTTGATCTTCCACGTTACGTCCAGGTGGAGTAAAAAAAGGTCGAGGGGTACACCCCGACGCGCGGATGTGCGACCGGTATTTTCGTGACAGTAATGAGAATACGCGACCGTAACGACGCTGACGTACACGAGGTACACGATGTCGTTCACGTTCGACGCTGTTCTTTTCCATCACGATACCCGCTCCAGCTTCTCACGTAGACGATTCTGACCGCGGTAACGCGGAACCACTATGAAAATTCTATATCGACAACAAAGTTATATGGTAATTTTCGGTTATATGGTAAAATTCGATACGCGAACGTGCCAACTCGCAGAAGGACGTGCCAACGTGATATCGCGTTTTACAAGAATGTTCCTCGCGCTTCGTGCTCGTTGTCTTATCAAATAGATTAAGAAAATTTTGATTTTTTTTTAGATTGGAAAGAGAACGTACCTTCGGAACCTGCCGCTCTATCGTTCGTTCGTTCGTTCGATTTACGCTTCCACTTTCTCTCGGTACACACTCTCTCGGAGCAAATACGGGGCGGTTTCGCGGCTCGGATACGGAACCGTACGGCCGTACGGTTCGCCGGCTATTCGTTGGGGTGGATGCGACCAAGTGCGTCGGGAGGCTGAGCGTTCCGCTACTCATTCAACAACCCCTACCTCCTACTACAAATTCTCATAATACCCCACTCTCTTTGGCGACAGCCAATCGAAAATCTCGGGGGTAGGCTGTACGATCCGACTATTTCGCCGTCTCTTTTGTTTTTCTTTTTTCTTTTTACTTGACGTTACTATTTCTACTACGTCATCGTCGTCGGTCATCATTGTGATTTTTTTTATTTTGTTTCATCTTGGATGGATTTCTCTATCACGGCGGATAAGACGAATTACTTTAGAAAGATTTTGATACGGGTCAGAGATACAGATATTTTCGCTATACCGTATTGATCATATGTGATTTACGTCAAGTATCACCATATAAGCGCTGTTACGCTGTAACATGAAGGATCAAGTTGCAATTTTTAGATACAATTTACAGTTGGCTCGGATATTCCTTTAATAATCGCTAGTAATAACGCCGTAACGAGTTATAACGAGGCGAATACTTGAACTTTACACGCGGTAATCGTGTTTATCCCGATAGGGGTGCGCATGGAATCGCGCGTGTAAGAGCGAATTTGTTTCCAAGTACATTTAGCACAATTAAAAACGATTGGCTGATAATCAAATCCACGGGGGGTGGGGGGTGGTGGAAATGACGTACAAAGCGTGCCTTGCGTACGTCGTCTACGTAGCTCGATTCTTTCAGATTGCCCCAATCATTAAAATATTTCGGACTTGATGATGAGAGGCGATCGAACAAGCGTCCGAGGAACGTTATAAAATAGCGTTATTTATATTTATTTGGCAAGTTGATCGGTCAATCTTCGACGCCTTTCTGTAGTCGCGGACGAGCCGATACGTGGGATTCCGCGGAAAGATTTGTCGCGCAGCATAAAATGCGATGCGCCCCCCTCGTCGTGTAATCGCGACAACGCTCGAGGTCTCTTGTAACATTCTAGAACATTGGCGAATATCGCAGGTATAAAGCAGATACGTGACATTAGTAAATTTTTTCGTCAATATCTTAAGGTTCTTTCTCGATTTTTTTTTAAGGTTTTCATCACCGTACCGCGGAGAGAAAAGGAAAGTAGAGGAAAAGAAAGAGAGCTGAAGGGGAGAAAGAACCTAGCTGTGGCTAGATACGTTAGGAAGGAGAAAGAGAGAGAGAAAGAGAACGTCTAGCAAGTAGCAAGGAATATCTCGCGAAACTAAACGGGCGCAACAAGTAGTTTGAACAAACGAGTGAGTGAACGCAACCCCAGATTGAAGACTCGTCCGATCGCGTGCGCGTATACATGATGTAATGGACGAGATGGAGTTCTGGATATGATGAACAATAGAACGGATATATGACTGCTTGAGGTACTCGCAGGGCCCGAAACTAATCGCTGGCCCGCAGTGCAACCTCGCAATACGTTGATCTAACTTACACAACTGATCCTACGTTCTCCTCTCGACTGCGATGACGGCTTTTACTCAAACGAATCCTACCTTTGAGTGTCCGGTTTCCTTTGCTCGCGCAAACATTTTTTTCCCCCGCTATATTTTAATCTCAATATTACAACTTGCACGACCTGAATTAATTTGAACGTCGAAACAAAAAGAGCGATGATATTTCGCATCCTGGAATCCAGACGCAACATGTGCGGTAACGATTTTTCTGCCACGTGCAGCATCCACGTTCATCATGAACGCGCGCGCGGACGTTATTAAAACGAAAGACAAATATAACGTTCATTGCTCGTGGATATTTACTCGCGTGATATGATATTTGGAATCCAACGAGCGATTTGGTTTAAAGCGTGATTAAATGAGGATTTCCGTTCATTCCCACGTCCAGTTCGTATAGAAGCCACAAAAGTAACGAAGAATTTGTCTCGTGGGCGATCGGGATCGGGATCGAGATCATTGAGATCGGGAGCGCGCGAGAGAGAACCAGAGAACGAGAGAACGAGGTTCGTGAGCTCGAGGTCGTGAGCCCCTTCGGACGTAACGCGTTCTCTTTGGCGGAATTTCTCACTGATGCCTGGTGCTATCCGAAAGGATATTTTTGGCCCCGCAAATATTATCTCGAACGCATCGCGATCTCGGGATTTCGATGCAACTACAAGCACGAGTTACCACGAGCTACGATCTGCTTTCTTTCACCACCGGTTTTGTAGCGTTCAGTGCGCTTTAATGCTATTTGCATAAAGGAGACACGGAGTAGGTAGATACTGTAAAATGTGTACGGTCAACAAGTAACTTTACACGGCGATCGACGACGGCGCAGGCGTTACAAGAGGGTTCCTTTCCGTTGGACCATAACTCCAAAATGCTTTCAGGCTTTTTGCCCTACGGGAAAACATTCGTCGTGTTTTTCCTTTGTAATCGTCGAACCGTAACGTGTGAAACGAGAAGGGAGAAAAATGACAAGGAAACACGCGATCGAGTTCTGCGAAATGAAGTAACTTCCACTTTCATTCTTTATTCCTTGATTAGCTAAGAAGCGGATAAAGAAAAAGAAGAGAGAAGGATTATAGCTGCTCTATTTGATTTTAATTATTTGAACTTTTCGTAATCTATTTAAATCTTTTATAAATCGCAGACTTTTGTCGACCATTTCAAATTTGATAGACTAGAAACATCGTCTTAGAGAAGACGAATTTTAAGAAATTTCCGAGTAAGAAGGAATGAATGAGCGTTCTTATATTTTGTATTCCACGGGAAATCGATTTCTATCTTCATTTTTCTTTTCCTGGAATATTTACTTGAATAGGTAAGCTTGGTGGGAAAACGTATCGTTGCTTGTCACCTGTTGCCGCTAAGCCAATGAGCTCGGATTTCCGGTATCATCGTTGTTGCAAATAGCGCCGATTGCGAAAATAAAATTGTTGCTTGTCACAGATATCTGATTTCCTTTATATATTATATATATAAAAAGAAAAGATTATATAAATACAGTGTGTTTGGTTTAGGTTTAGATATATACACTCTGTAATTTTTTTAAATGATAGAGTTATAAAAATAAAATATGTCTCAAACAAAGATTATTTTATTTAAGAACGTGCTTGTTTGTTTCAGGCCGGTACGTAGGATCGCGTCCGATAAAACTTCGCAAGAGCTCCTGGAAACAAAGGAATTTAGAGTCTGTCCGCAAGAAGGAGAAGGAGAAGCAAGCGTTGATCGGTCTGCTCACCGGTCGATGACGAGATGCACGTCCTTTTATTATATTTAATTGTTCATCGACAAAGTTATAAATAATCGATAACCGCCTCGATAGTTCGGAACGTGTCGGACAAGTCACCGTGACGTACGGCGACGATATTCAGTTTCACCGTCGACTATTTTGCCAGAATATACGCCAATAAAATCACAATTACAAATTTGTTATGTATCTTGGATTTCACGTCTTGATATTATTCTTCTTGATACGAATATCCTTGTCAGACTTGTTTTCCTTTAAGATAGATGACAGTCTTGTGCCAAAATACCGAATCTTTTTATACACGATAAAGGACAATCAGCGGAATGTATAAGATCGATTGGTGCGTAAACAATCGAGATTTTGACTGATTAAATCACGTGAGACGAGCGACAAGATACAACGAAAAATAGAATGGAAAAATCGTTAACAAGCCCGAATCCGGATGAACGCGGAGAGTTGGAAACTGATCCACTCGGGGTAGGCAATTAAGCAAAATTATTGTATTGATTCTTTCTTTCTCTCTTTATTAAGACTTGTAGGAATAAATTGCGGCTTCCAACAGCCGTACGCTAATTTCTTCAATACGTTAAAACGTCGTTGGATATAGTGTCGTCGTTCGCACTCACATTCCGCAGGTCTATGAGGGTGAGAGAAATGAGAATGGCGAGAGACACGGCGATGGAAAGACCTTGCTACCAAACGGCGACATGTACGTCGGTCAATATTGTAACGGGCTCAGACATGGTAAAGGTATCTACGTATTCAAAAACGGTGCCCGATATAACGGTGATTGGAGAGACGGACAGAAATACGGCCAAGGGATCTTTTGGTACCCTGACGGAACGCAATACGAAGGTACGGGAGAATGTACAAAAATAGGATCCGAATCAGATTCGAGCGGGAAATCACATCGTAGGCACGTGGGCACGTTGACACGTCCATATGTATATTCATACAATTATTTTTATGTCGCACGCGTCAGAAATCTTAGAAAAGCTAAGAGCATGCCAGGAATTCGCGAGAGGTGGGTGCGCGGCGCGCGCTCATCGGCCCGCGACCGATCCGCGAGGTCGACGCCAAGATCCGAATTCGATGGCATTTGACTTTGATCGACTCTCGGCAATGATCGTCCGTTATAGCTGAAATTAATCTGCTTAGGGGAATGGAAACGCGACGCGAAACACGGCTTCGGAGCTTATCATTACGCGACGAATGACGTCTACGAAGGCTCGTGGAAGGAGGACCTTCGACATGGTATGGGAACGTATCTGTACGCTGATACAGGAACGAAATTTATGGGTACGTGGATGGAAGACCGCATGGAAGGACCCGGACAGCTCATTCACGCGCGTTGCCGTTTCCATGGTTTCTGGAAGCTGAACTTGGTACGAAATAGGAAACGGGAAAGTAATCGCGATGCGCCGTGGTTGTCTGGATATCTCCAAATCACAAATCTCAAATAGGACGAAAGAAGCCTAGATCAAAGAAGTATATATACATCTATAATTAATAGAGATATCATTTGATGTAGCCGTACGGACGTGGTTGCTTCACCTTTGACAACGTATGCATGCAGCACGGTCATTATGTACACGTGAGAGATCCCACGTTTGATGGTCCGACTTGGACGGTTGCGGAAGTAAAATTCTCTCTCGTCTCTCTCTTTTTTATACCATTTTATTCAATCTTCAGCCAACTGTCTTTCACACAGAGAATCATCCTTGTTCGCCTTACTGTATATATTGCCAAAAATAGGCAAATGTAAGCGGAACGTTCACGCTTAACGAAATTATAATAATGCAGGAGAACGATGATGACAAAAGTCAGTTGAAGAAAGGACGGTCCCCGAGGATAGGTGTTCGGCCGATGTGGCGCGCGCGTTGTATCACGCCTTACAACCCGGAGTTATTGCCGCCGGAAGCACGGCCCCTGCGAGAGGAAGTAATCAAAATTATAATCACGATCGTCACTTTTATATTCGATAACTCCGCGTCGTTTCAAGTATCGCATCATACTTGTCGTCGTTCAAGCGACCTGTTTTAATACACGTACGCGATGCTGATGTCGAATTTTAGAGCTCGCGGCGTGACACATGGCTACCGTTGTCTCATTCCGCGGATAGGCGACATCGAAAAAACGGATTAATAATTAATATTGAAAAGCGGAACCGGGAGTTCGCGATCTATATCCGGTTACCTTTCTCTGGGGGAGGGTAGGATTTCCTTAGTACGTTGACTGCGTCATCGGAAGCGGAAACAGATTCTTCCGGTAAAATGAATTTTAATCGACCGCTTTGTACTAACGAGGACTAGCGAGTATCCGGTCGCTATTTCTAGCGCGTCGCCAGACTGCGGGTTTCCGTAATCATTAATAGAATTACGATATCCGGGCAGGATAGTAGTAGCCGTCTTTCTTTTCAAACCGTGTTTATACGTCTCGTTGCCCTGACACGTATCACCGGTATCCGGCGGGGCGGGATTAAAACCTAACGTGTTTCAATCTGACACGACGTCGCGTTCGCGTAGGTGTCAACGGAACCCTCAATCAGCAAGGGCGAGGATGACGTTTGGCCGAAGAACGAGGGGTACTCGGACTCGGATTATCCGGAGGACTATCGCGAAGAACGCTATGAGAGAGAAGCATCGTCTCGTATCGACAGTCCTTAAATTGTAATAAAATTAATGAAACGTGCTAATTCTCAATAAGCCGTCGGTCAATCGATTTGCGAGCGCGTCGTAACGTGTACATTCCTCGCATTATTATATACGAATATACGATATATATGTTAACTTGATGCATAGGTGATGCGAAACGGAATAAAAAGAGCGTGCTTTTAAGCGCTTTATTTAGGAAATTATAACAACGAATGTGTGTACATGTGTACGCCATGCAAAACGTAGGAATGCTATTACATCGTCGGAACGTAGTCTCGTGTTTATATTGTAATAATATAATAAATGCAAGATACCGTGTTCACAATTATATACTTGAGTAGTATATACATACTCGAGTTTAACATTATTTACAATCAATCTCGAGTTGGTGCAGTGTCGAATGCTGCGACGGTACGTTAATGTATACATATACATGTGTGTGTCTGTGTGTGTGTGTGTCTGTTTGTATACATATATATATATCGCGATGGAATTATATACATATTTTTTCAACATGTTTTATGCAAAATTGAAAGCGCAAGCTCGGTTATATTGTTAATCGTTCTGCAACACAAGCACGTTCATGAGGCGCGCCATTGAGCGACACAGGCACACGTATACTCTGTGCCTGCGTCTACGTTTATATGGCTACGTTTACGTCTACGCCTAAGCTTACGCCTAGTTTTATGCCGAGGATACGTACGTTTCCAAAACATAAGGACTGAGGGAGGAAGACTAAACTTCAGTCGGGAAAAATTGACTCGAGTTGAACGAATGTGGAAGGAACGGTAGTATCAAGTTATGTACAGCGATATTTCGTAATACATCTGATAATACAATCATTTAATCGAATCACAAATTCGTCATGACGTCATATTACACGACCCGACCGACGGAGCGTGCTGATTTTTCGGTGATAGCAAGCTCCGCAGCAATACTGGCGAATACTGTCTTTTTTTTTTTTAAGTTGTCAGCTTTTAAGATAAAGACATGTTTCAAAGGAGCATACGCATATAATATTTATACGCCCGTATACTTTTCTACGTGATTGCTTCGCGCGACTTGATCTTTGTAAAAAAACGAATCATGTCAAGAGACATAAGAGTCGAATAGAGAGATCTATAGAGACGTAAAAGGACGGAGAAGAGGGCGAATAAATAGATAAAATTGTCGCGTAAGAGATCGCAGTCTTTTAACATCAAGTTACGAGTCACGAGTAAGCGGAGTGCGTACTATAGTCGAATCCATAAAGTTCATAAAGTGCTTAACACAGATTAAAAAGTGTTGGCGGGATAACGATGCGATGACTATAACATTTATACAGTAGAATTATGTTAGACCGTCGGCGTCGTACCAAAGCGTTATCAACGCTGTTGTGCTAAGCGTAGGGCGAGTCGCGCGCGCGCGCGCGTTCGCACTTGGCTCGTCCCTTGGATCGAGAGCACTGACGCTAGCGCGAGCAACATCGTGATAGCAAAATACTTTGGTCTGCGACTTGGCGTCCACTTGGCACAAGATTTAAAAATTCGCGAAAAACGCGACGCGATACTTTCTCTCGCCTCTCGTCTCGTTTACGTCGAGAGGCGAAAGAAAGAGAGACACAACTAAACTTGGATGTATTTTTCTTTTTTCACCGATTTCTTACGGCATGGGCATCGGAAATCTCGCAAAGTCGACGTGTCGATCGACTACCGCGCGCTCATTTGCGCATCGTTGCAAACGTTGTGCGACTGCAAGTTACAAGTCATTTACACGATCTTGCTTGAAACTTATTATATCGCGCGCGGACGCGTCCGCGCGAACATCTAGTGTGCGTTTAACGTGCCAACGATTTTCTTCGAAATAGTCGTTTAAGCATCTCAGGTACGTAAACGTGGACGAAATTTTTGCGCTCTATCGCGCGAAGCGACTCGTCGCGCGCCACTCTCCGTCGGCGAGTAACTCGTTGTCGCTTCGCTCCCAAAATGAGATTTTTCTTTCTCCTATACGGCACGCGTATTCGGCGGATCTATGTACAAGTTGGAGCTTTCAGTATTTCAACTTCCGATCGTCGATGTCTTGATACGTTTATAAGAACGAGCCGTTCGTATTTATCGAGCAGTAAGGGGAAACGGGGGGACGGTGTTGAGACGGTAGTGCGTACAATGCGAACGTGCGCACGCTTATTATCCATGTGGGCGCGTAGATAACAAGGATTTCTCTTCATTCGATAAATACCGTCCCGACTACGTCGACGGCGCAAAACATCCTAGATGCGCGTCATTGTCATTTCGGAGGCGCGGACACGAAGCGGCTAAACAACGCTCGTTCACATCAAGTCCGACGGTGGTCTCTGAAAGGCGATGCTAGCTACGGAGATGCTGCACAGACCGGCAGTTATAATACCCATGCATATGTAGACCGACGTAATCAGCCAAAAGGCGAATAAATATAGCGTCTTATTGCAATACTTTCCCAATGCTGGATCATAGTTTGGCTCGTATTCCTTGTATACCCACATAGAACCTGTAACACGAACAGAGATTTGTAACACTGTCCCTCGCGCAAATACCCGACGTTCGTGTTGCGTGGCAACGTGACGGAATAAACTACCAATAATGAACCATCCCAGCATAAAACAATTGATCAGAGTCTGCGTAGGCGATTGTCTGATCCTTTCTTCGTCTCTTTCCTCTTGGCGTTGCCGCACTCTGGCTGACAAAGTTAACAATTGCTTAAATACTCCGAATCCACCGCCTACCAACAAGTATACGGGAATGTATTCACCCTGTGGACAATCGTAAAGATACAGTCCACCGATCACCATCATGCAAATTGGTACCACTATCGTCACTCCGAGAATGATGGTACACCCGACTGGAAAATGCCGATTTCACATTTTACATCCAGCTATTAAGACATTTCTGAGGTAAGTATCTTACTTTCACCTACTACCAACGACGAGAGACACACACTTACTTGTGCCTAGGAGCAGGACAACGATATTCTTTAAGAAATCGAATATGCCTTTGGATATTTTACGGGCTTCTCTCATACGACCGAACAGGGAATCGTAGGACGGCGGCGGTGCTGAAAACAGTGCAGGAATGTAGTAATGTATTAGACCTATGGACCTATGGACACACGAGCATACGATCAAGATCCAAGACGAGGATCTAGGATGACGTACCATTAGGATCTATCGCCTCTTCGTACGAGGGTGGCGCGCCACGCTCGTTGGTCAACGTGGAAGGATGGCCTAGGGGTAAGTTGATGTTGTGGTAGGACGGCGGCGGGGTGCAGCAGGTCGACGTTATCTGCGTGCTCGTGCTCGTGCTCGTGCCAGGGTTCACGCTCTCCACCGTCGCCGCGGGGGCACTCGTGCCCCGAGTTATCGAGCTCAGAGGCATCTCTTCCCGTACGGTACCGGCTGCCGTCCTGTTCCAGTACATGAGGCCCGCGTTACCAGACTGAGAGACCACCGAGATCCGAGGACACCAGTCCGAGTCCCGAGTTGCCCGTCGCTGTTTACATTGGCGAACTGGCGAACGCTGGCCCTTATAACCTAAAATCGTCGAGAATTGTTGCTCCTCCTCGCCTCCTCGCCTCCTCCCGACGAGGGGAAGCTCGATCCGAGCTTTCGTTCTCTCGTATCCGAGGGATCGTGGCTGATGGTGGCTCACATTTACGAGTCAGAAAGGAAACGACGAGTTTTCGGGAGCGTTCAAGTTCCAGGAAGAAACCCCGAGGCCAGCAGGCAGCGTGTCGCTATCGCTTCGCGTGTCTTCGTTAATCTCCGTTGCCGTTCCCCTATTTTCCGTATCCCGCGATTCCCGCGAATCCCGCGGCGGGCGGTGGCATCAGTGCAAGCTGTCAGCTGTCAGCTGTCAGCTGGCTGTCTGTCAGTGTCATGTCATTCACGCTCATCATTCACTCGTTATATTTACTTCTCTACTCTACGGCAAATTTGAATATTAGGCCTATGCAACAAATACATGTAGCGGATTCTGATATGATGCGCATGAAATAATAATAATTCATCAAAGAGGTAAAAAGAGGGCAATAGTATATATTATACAGAGATTGCAATTTCTCTGCGTGTATACATATATACACAAATCATTTATTGTAAGAAATAATTTCCTTAATACAAAACGTATGCCGTTTCTTTATATAAAAGAAGATCGCTAACTTAACTTGACGTCAACATTTGCTTTATTTCTTCATTTATATAAAGAATTAAGTGGAGGTTCGAGTCTCTATATACTGAATAAAATTTTCACATTTTTCACTGTATGTCACTGATAATTAATTAATGTCGCTGATAATTACTTAAAACTATTAACCCTAGCAGCAAATTATTGTGATTATCAATGCGGAGCCCTGGGGATTCAAAGATTATAATTATTAAAGAGTATCGACATATATTATTAATTTCAATATTTCAATCGCCAATATAAAATATATCTAAATATTTAATTTTTAATGCAATGAAATTCATGATTTATTACGTACACGAACGTTTCATAAATACAAAACGGCATATTTAGGCAATAAAATTTTTCCAATGTATCAGCAATTTTACTGTTTATATCTAGATGTACAGTCGTATCAATCAATTTTTCGTTCCCTTTGTTTTACAGTTTTTGTAAAAACTGTAGGTATGCTTTCCATTTACATCAAAACTCTGATAATTAATTCTCACTTGTGACGTGTCTCATTTTGTCTTTCGTATTCATTAATTGCCAAAAAGGATTGGAACAAAGTCACGATAGTGATGAGAATTATACGAGTTTTGATGTAAATGGAAAGCACCTAATATGAATAATATTTCAACCGTTTTTTTACGATATAATATATCGTCGGATTTCGGCAACACGTTTGCATACAATTTGACGATTGTCCTTCGCTTATAAATCGCTTCCATCGTCTCGAATTTTTCAAGAATGTAAATTACGGATATCTTATTTTATAAATTAATAAATATATATATATATATATATATATGCATATATATATATGCACATGTTGCATCACATTATCCTGATGTGCAATGCGCGAAAAATCGACATGGCAAAAACAATAATGAATTTAGCGAAACCAGTTATATTAGGTAAGAGAGAGAGAGAGAGAGAGAGATTAGGAAATATGTTATTATTAATTGAACACGTATACATGCGACGTTGACATTTGTGAAAAATGACGTAATATCATTTTTCAAGTAAATAGATATCATATTTGCTTGCGCGGCATATAAATTATTATACATAATTTATAGACGCACAATGCGTGGTGTGTTTTTTCAGTCGCAAAAGAAACGGGATAAATCGTTTTAATTATTTCTATTTGTTGATATTTTTCAATCGACCATTCAAAGTAAATCGAAATCAATCTTAATCAAAGAGACCGTGTTTTTCTTAAATATTAATAAAAAGTCTGATAAATGTATATTCAAATAGATAATATTTATAAGGATATTACAAAGATATATGTGACAATAAATGTTAACAATAATCTTTTCTAATATTCTCCCTTAATATTTTGTTAAGAATAAAGAATCGGTACGAATCTGTCTCTTTAAAGATTTGGACTTTCGGAAGAAATGATTAACGTCTGTCGTTTTGCTTCTCGTGAGATATAATATATTGTGCAATATTGACATATAGGTATTTAAAAGTTGCTCAAGTATTTTTATTTTGCCATTCAATTTTGCTTTCTCAACATACTGGAAACTCGTTAACAATATGATTGAATTTTGAATATAAAATAATACATCAGTGGCACAAGTGACATTTACGACATCTCGACAAAAAATTTAATAAATCGACGCCAAGGACGCTTTGTTTTTTACTAGACAAATCCACGTTACTTCCACTTATATATACCAGTCCTTTTTCGTTCGTCGAATCTCACTGATCGTACGACGTCGTCTTGTGCAAATCAGAGATAAATCAGAGATCACGTTATAAAACTTTGAATTGCGCGCAACTGTTGGCACGTAACAAATGAAATTCATCGACAGTGCGTTAACAATTATCTCGAACGAATCTCGACTCTCGGCTCCATTCGCGCGGTTCTGTTATCTGCATTTCAAAAGTGCCCTTTTTCTTATATATATAGCAGGAAAGAGAGTAAACCTTGAAACAAAATTTGTTGACGTGTATAAATAATAATAGCTTCAATCTTGTGTATCTCAAGATTAATTTTAAAATCAGTACCAATGTTTACTAATTTACAATAAGGAAATAAAAAGTGACTATTATGTGTTAAAGTCGCATTATGTCGCGACGGCAACTTGCGTTTATTTTGTGCGCTTGCATAAACTTTTCCACGTTACTCTGTGCACCCTCCGCACAACAAAGTCATAGATTGAATAATGACAGCAGCAACAACAATGACATTATTAACCGTATGCTGCCCGCTTATGCTGTTGCTTCGCGAGCTTCCGGTCTTTTAAATTCGTCGTTATGCGAAAAGGAATTGTTGGATTTCCGAGAGGCTGTTGATCAACGAATACTCTGGAGCCTGAAAAGTATGTAAAATTCTTAATTATAATAATAGTATAGATAATGCACTTTAATATATTAAGGTCGGAAAGCTAATCGAGTATTGTGATAAGAAAAGAAATGTATTTTTGCGACTACATTTTTCATATCACTGCGTAAATATGCCGTCTTATTTATGAAACATACGTCGTTGTAATTATTTTACAATAATTACTATAAAATATGACTTTTGTAATAAAATGTGTCGTAACAATAAGAAAAATGTATGTCTTTTATAACAGTAGAAAAAAAAGTCACGTATATTTATTCAATACTAAATAATCAGGAGGGAAAATCTATGATAATTATTGTAAATATCTAGACTGCTTTTCAAAATTAATACGTATTATCAAAACCTATAAACAACTGACAATAAATGAGAGACTATTCAATATTTTTTTATAATTTTTATGCAATCAACGTTTGTCTATCTTTTATTTAAAAGTGCTGGATTCTAGCGGCGACGTTCAATCAAGTTTTTTTTATGGAAATAATTATTGGCTGGGCAGTCGTAGCCAGTGCATCGATGTGATGAGTACTGTTCCTCTACCGATTTCAAAGCTGCATTTATTAAACAACACGCTGTATCGTGATCCACAAAAGGAGATTCCGCCTTTCAAAACAAATTACTTCGCTGCCCATTTTAAACACAATAGTACTCTACAGTACCACATAAATCTACCTAATGAAGTAAGTTTATATCTCATTGTTAATGTAATAATAGCTGTTTATATACTAATTAAAGAATGTAGAATCGAGATAAGAATCTAAAACGTAGTTAACATCACGCGCAACGTACAATATTGTTAACATTTATATAATTAATAAAAATTAAATTGTCAAGTCTTTCAAATCTTTGTCAATAATGATTTACATTAAAAATAGATACAGTACTTGACATGTGTTACTTACGTCAAGTAAATTTACTCATAAAGAAGTGTACCATTGCGAAATACATAAATGATAAAACTATAATAAACACAACACATTAAAGCTTTATGGAGATGGCAAAATTTCGGCAAAGTACGTTCTTAATGCTCAAGAAAAAAATTCAATTCGTCACATGCCATCAAACAAATGTTATATATACGATGACGTTGAAAGATGGAATCGCGCGCTATCAACGATGGAAAAGTAATAAAAATTCGTTTCCACCAAGAATCATCGTCCATCGAAAAAAACTTCCAATCACAGTTGGAATATGAAAACCAGCTATCGCAAAAAGACGCATATATTATCAACGAGTTAATAGTTTACAAAAAATTGCTTGTTATTTATAATGATAGTCCTGATATTGTACGTTACGTGGACATTTTTCAGATTTAAATTTTAAACCAAAAGATTTACGTCTACATATATAAATGGACGTTTGAAAGATTATCTTAAAAAGGTTATTTTATGAAAAAATTTAAGATTTTAGATAAAAATTATACACGCGCACAAGTCGCGATATTGCAAAAAGAGGTCGACGACGGTAACACAATCTCCCTAATATACATACCTACGATACACATGTATCGAAAGTCGAAATATATTTAAATTGTTTTTCATTATTTATAATTATTTACTAAACATGTCGCCGCAGGCTATACACTTGTCGATATATGGACATTGATGTGTATATATTCAATATTAAATCATATGTTGAACAGACATTTTTATTTTAGGATGTCATCACACTCGGACTTTGTTTACCAGCCTCATGCTCTGAAAATGATATAAGTTTTATTTTGGAAAGAGTATTCCGTGATAGAATTCTTATAATTAGTGATCTTTATTCCGCGGACTTTGAGATGATCCAGGTTAAAAATCTAAAAGATGATTATAAATGGCTCCGTAGTGGTGCTACACCAATCATTTGGTATGTCAAGAAATTGTTAAGCACAATTAATAATACAAATAAAATAATATATTCCATATCACGCGTTTGCACACATACGCGTTAGAAACAAGTTTTCATTCAAAAGCAGCTATAAATCTGAAGAAATATTAAGGAGATATTTCGCATATCTTTATTAATTTTATTAATTTTACATTTGTAGCATTATTTTAGTGCTTTCTATCTTCATGGTTATAATCGGGACGGTGTACGATGTGTTCGTGAATCGGAAATATTCAAATAAAAAGAATAAAATTGACACTGGTAAGTATCGCATACCGAAAAAAACATTTCAAATCTTTTCTTTAATAATATACGTTTTGCACACGTTAATTTCTATTATATTAGTGTTTTATTAATACTATTCCCCGAATTTTTAGATGGAAAGAACACAATTCAAGAAATGGAAATGGAAGCAACTCCGTTACGGTCAAGTAGAATTGGAAAAGTACTATTATGCTTTTCCGCCTACACGAATACAAAAATAATATTTAATACAAAATTGCACGCCGACGCACTGCCTATTATTCATGGCTTAAAATTTTTAAGTATGTGTTGGCTACTCGCAGGCCATGTCCCAATGTACATGGCAGACTACACGGGCAAGTAATCATTGAAAGTGATCTGTAGAAGATCAGCGACCGACTCTTGGGTCCGATTCTTATTTATTACACTAAACGGATACTGTTTTTCCGTACACAGACAATAAAGTGTGGGCCTGGAAGTTCAGCGATGGCTTCACTAATCAAATATTAATGAATTCACATTTAGGAGTCGATACCTTTTTTTTTTTAAGCGGACTTTTGGTGGCCTATTTTTATATTAAGGATAAAATGAACAAAGATCGAATACAACCACTTACTTATAAAGCAAAGATAAATGAATTCTTCCTCCTTGTGCTGAGAAGATTTATCCGGTATGTTCTTCCGTTATCTTGACAAAGAAAAAGACACGACATAAAGACAATTTTAAATCATCTAGTACGTAATGTCAACGTCAATGGTAAGCTAACAATGTATTTTCTTTTATCCATAAATTTCATCTTTAGGCTGACGCCGGCTTATATGATGGTATTGGCAATATCGCACGTAAGTTCGACTTGGTTCGACAAAACCTCCCCATTTTACGTATACGAGAGACCACACGAAACCTGCTCAAAGTACTGGTGGAGGAACCTTCTGTACATAAATAATCTATTCGGTCTTAAAACAATGGTATACGAATACATTTAGTTTAGCACAGAATGTGCTTAAAAGCACATGCATATATAGAATCTTCAATCTCAAATTCTTTTTTTTTTTTCTTCAAGTGTATGAGTTGGAGCTGGTATTTATCTGCAGATATGCAATTCTTCATTATTGCTGTAGCGCTATTAATTTTGTCGACAATGTAAGTTGACTACTGAAGGTCATACAACACATAGCCAGTGTAAATATTTTTTAATTAAACATTAATTATATAAATTTCAGGTACTTTTACATAGCAATGGCTATATTAAGTGCACTTTTAATAGGCTCAATTACCCTTACCGGATATCTTTCATACATTTACGAATATATCCCGACGTAAGTCGATTGAAACATCCTGCTCAAGAGAACAATTAAAAGAGCATTTTTCCCATGTTGTTACACAGGTTGGACGAACAATACAGGCTTATGGATGTCTTATACTTTCCACCGTGGGTCAGAGCAAGTCCATATATCGTTGGAATGATTGCCGGTTACATTTTAACGCAACTAAACGGAAAGTTGCGTTTGAAGACGGTAAAACGTTGATTTATATTTTCATGTTTGATTTATACACGTATAACGTTAATGTAGCAAAAAAGTAAAATGGCTTTTTTCAGAAATAATTATACAACACGCTATACGTACTGATTTAAAAAAATATATAAATTATTAGTTTAGTAGTATTGCGTAAAGAAAATACTCAAGTACAAAAGTTTTAAATTACTCTTGTCATATTATAATTCAATTTAACGTAAATTTTAGAGAACTGTAATTTTATGCTGGTGCTTTGGTAGTGCCTGCAACATTATTGTGGTATTCGGCACGTACAAGCGACAAATACCTATTTTACCTGCTGCTATTTATGCCGCATTGCACAAAGGCATTTGGGCCACAGGTATAGCATGGGTTACAATAGCGTGCCTTACTCAACACGGTGGTTAGTTTATTAATAATATTTTATTAAATCTTTATCAGATTCTTTTTATTAGATACTAGAAAATTGTTGTATAATATATTCGCAATCCACATGCGATTTAATTTCACTTTCACGTTACTATTTAAGAAACATTTTTGTTATAATGAACAGTGGCATAATGAATACAATATATATATAATTTTTTACTTTTTAAAATACTAAAAAAATTTATATAAATATATTACAAACTAAACATCAACTTTTACCTTATTACAGGCATCGTTTATCGTATCTTATCATTTAAAGGATGGGCTCCTCTTAGCAGACTGTCGTATTGCGCTTATCTTATAAATCCTCTTGTTGTACATTCGATTCGCCTACTGAGTGAAACGTCTGTTCATTTTGAACTTGTTCCCTTGGTAAGCAAAACGAACATTTAAAATTCTAAAAGGTTTAAACAACTTGTGTGTTATTATCGCAACCATTTATTTTCAGGGTATCGTGTTGATGGGATATTTTACAATTACTTATACATGTTCCTACGTATTGTCCTTGGTAGTAGAAACACCGTTCAACTTACTAGTACGACAAACCATGCAAGCTCGCAGTAAAAGAAAGTATAAGTGGCGTAACAGTGAGAAATTGTAATTTTGCATGCAAGTGTACGTCCCGATAAAATCAAATATAATTTTTGTACTTTTATCTATGTAATATACTACAAAAAATCTGATGTATAACATAACATGCGTAATAAAAATAATAGTAATAAAAGTGCGACACTGCGACATTCTACGACACGATAACTGCAGGCTTGCATTCAGACCAAAGGTAGTCATTTTAATACTTCTTATCATTATATGACAAGTCTTTTGTGTCTTCTGTCCACCGCTGAAGAGGGTCCCATATGTTACGGCACATGTGTATTAAAAATAAATAAAAAAAAAATTATGTGAAGCTAAAACCAGCAGCACGCAATGAATCTATCCAGCAAAACCAGTAGCGAAACACACGCATTATGTGCTGTAAGCTTTACAATCTAAAAAGGTCATCAATCAATGAAATAAAAACGAGATGGTCTGTATCGAAAAACTAAATAGAAACGTTCCGTGAACGTCCACCTTAACCAATGGAACGTAAGAACCAAGTAAAATGATTGCCTAGACTCTAATCTCTAGGTTATAGGCTTTCCGCACACATATATTTACTGACCCGTACGTGAACTTCGACTTGTACACGTAGACCAACCGGACCAACACGCACAAAGACATAACGTATAACATGCTTTTATTACGTTACATCTTTCTTTGTCTGAACCCCAAGTCCAAGTTTACGCACAGATCTATCTAAATATATAATCAGCACTCAACGTAACGTGATGTGTTGCGAATATTCTTGTACGGAGAGCCTTCTATACCCCATCTCTAAATTTAAATTACTATTACAAATATTACGTACAACATGGGTTTATTCTTATCGATGCAAATAAAGGAGATATCAGAGTATAATACCGGACAAATAATATGTAAAAACCATTATACTATTTCGTCCAATAATTTTTCTTTCTTCGTTTCTTCATCAGTATAAATTTCATAGATCGACCGTATTCTTGTTATTGTTAAGATTGTTGTTGGCATTGTCGTAAGCTATTGGGGCATCAGGCACATCTTTGTCCGTCTTATTAAAATTTTCGTCGTAACTTTTGTCAAGACTTTCGTTGAGGCTCGTATCGAGACTTTTACTCGTTGTTGGTTCAACACTATAGCCATTCATAGGTTTGGGTTCTGTGTTTAACGTCGTGTCACGGATACATTTTCTTATCTCGTGCCCAATAGCAGCGCCCAATGGTGGTGGTACCGCGTTACCAACCTGTCGATGCTTATCAGCTATTGTACCGAAAAAACGATATGAATCAGTAAAACCTTGAGATCTCGCACATTCCCTCACGCTTACAACTCGATTTTGCACTGGGTGCAACACACGACCCTGAAAATCAATTTACATTTGAATAGCACACTCACTTGGCTCTACGTGTATGCTGTATCGATGAAATTATCGACGAAACATGATAGAACGACGTCACGTCAGTAGTATTTTAAAAAATTATTAAACATCAGCGATCTCGCACTTTATTCATTATTTCAAATTATTGGAGCATTTATTTGCAGCATTTTTACATCTACCACAACATACCTGTTTACCCATCGGTTCCGGATTAGTGATGGTTGTAACGAAAATTCCGTTCCAGTCAATTCTACCATATAAACCTGTCCAATTGTTATGTCGGTTCGAGGTATGTGGCAAACACCATGGAATCAAAGTATTATATTGCCTATCAGTAGGATCACATGGTTGACCAGTACAACAACTACATACTCCGCGAAGTGCATTCGTAGAGCTCCTTCCAACTCTCGGATCATGGTACGCATATTCTCTAAAAAACAAAAAGAAAAAAAAAACAATAAAATTCAGATTTGGTCACGTAATCATAATCAAAGAATTTAAAGGATATTAAATTCTAATGGATACTACACGTACAATTTCTTGGTAAAGTTACCGTCACTCAATCGCATCACGATGTTCGGTAGATCACGCCAATCGGCACCGATTGTAGTTGGAATGAGGCTCATTCGCGCCTCTACAAGCGGACTCATTTCTTTGCATATATGATCTATCAATATCGATCGATACGGTTTACCCCTCATCTGGAATGAATAAATCAAGTGAGAACTCTGATGTTTGTTTGCAAACATATACGGGGAGATACGTTTCTACAATACCTTTCTCTGAAAATGTGTTAACGGTTCGCCACCATAAGACATTTCCTCTACGCTCGAACCAGATTTAATTGCCGGTAAATCATACAGAGCATCTTTTACAGTGATTGTTCTATATGGAGCAGACTTTTTCCAAGCCAAAGTAAACTAAAGTATATATATATAGATTTCATTAGTACAAAAAAGCTTCATGATAGCGTGCGTGTGTGTGTGTGTGTGTGTGTGTGTGTGTGTGTGTGTATTAATTTTTGCAACGCGTACGTGCAATCTAATTTATATCAACTTACAAAATTAATGTCGCAAAGTATATATATATCACACACGCACACACACAAATACATACATATGTATCATAAATACAAAACAAATAAAAATAAGGGCATACCTTTTTATTATCTACTAGTACATTCGACGAACAACATTGTTTATTGAACACATGCGTAGGCTCTGGATACCTTGGAAGTATCTCTCCAGGTGCAGCGGCTATGAGTATCATCCTACAAATCGATAAATTATCATTAAAATGAAACTAGATATACCATCAGTAACATTTTGATTGTAAAGGAAAATAAAACAACCTTCTTCTCGTTTGTGGTATTCCATAACTTCCAGCTTGGAGGATACCAAATGTACACTGATAACCCATACGAACGAGACATCTTAAAGTTAATTTCAGCACCATACTTTTTTTAAAGGATACAAAATTTCGCACGTTTTCCATCAGGAAGAATTTCGGTCTATAATAATCGCAGTAAGCTAAACTCGTAACGATAAGAGAATTTTTAAATAATGAGTATTGCCGAAAATTGAAGCGATTCATGCCGCTGAAACCCTGACACGGTGGTCCACCACACAAAAGTTCAACATCTCCTTTCTGAGGAAGTTTTTGGCCATTATCATCTACCGTTTCACCCTGAGACAGAAAACAAAATTTTATTGACTAATTTTATTATATAGTAGAAAAAATAATCAAAATATAATATATATTCTCTCTTCTCTCTTATACATATTAATAAATATTCTTGTAATTTAAAGAGAAAAACTATCAAGAGACGCAACGTATCTCTGTAATATTTTCCATGTTAATTATTTGATAATAACAGTAAAATATTTATTGCTTAGTGTACGAAGGCGAATAATAGATGTGTGGAAACATGTAGTGATGGAAACTTACATTCATCACTTTTTGTAACAGCTTGTTGGAATCCTCTGTAAACACAGTAGCCTTCGGATTGTTCAAGCGAAACGCATTTGCCGCAGCGTTATCTTTTTCAACCGCCCACAGACTTTCAGCTACACCCGCTTGATGCATTCCTTCAGATAATCCTGTTTTACAAATGATTATAACATGAATCAAGTATATGTAAAGGAGAATGAACGGGGAATGGAAGATTAACGGAGAAAGGAGAAAAAGGGGGAGAGAGAACAAGTATATACATATAACGTAATGTACCTCCACAACCGGCAAACATGTCCAACATTCTCAATTTTCTTGATATAGTAGGATAGTCCACGGGTGTTTCAAAAACCTGCTTCTTTTCAGTTTTTTCCACTTTCTTTGCTATAGATTTACCCTTTCCCTTTCCTTTTCCAAATTTACTCGTATTAATAATGTCATAAGGCGGTTCATCGAATGTTTTTTCTGCAGGATTGTATGCTTCAGTAAAATAAAATCTGTTTGGACCGCTCGTAGACCATTCTTCAATGGATTCACTCATGTTTTTAAAGTATGTCAGGTAGCATTTACCGGCAACCACAGAAAAATTTACGGTGCACACTACACAGAAACAAAACGAATCTTTTAATTAAAAAAAATATAGGCAAATACAGATCTTAGGCCAAATGGGTATTTTTACGTCCTCAACATGTCAATAATACAAAAAATATTAAATTTATCTCAAAACGACACGAAGAAATTCTCAACTTACTCTCGTTGCTCCAATAGACCATATTAATGTCCGATTGCTCCATTAGTGCTAAATCTCGGTGAGTATTCTCCGGTCTGTACATTTTATTTATTTTAATAAAAATGTCTGAAGGTGCCACTAATATGTCAGTTGTCGTAGCATATATTGTATTAATATAACCAATATGAAAAGGTTCGGGTGTATCACGATTTGAAAGTATTCCTTTGTCAAGTTTTTTTCTGTAAAACTCCGGGTACATATCTTCATCTACTTGGTCTAATTTGATCTTTGAATTTTTAGATTGTTGGTATTTTCGTTTATGCTTAAATTCAAAAGCCTGTGGATATAAGAATACCGCACTACCGACTTTATATTCTTCACCTTTGTATTTTACTACGTCGTAAATCACTTCCCCACTGCTTTTCTCTTCTATTCGATTATAGACCTAAAAATCGTCGTAGATGACAACTTGATTATCGTTTCGATCCAACGTCATGCTTGTAGAGTTTAAGAGAAATTCAAATTCTCTTGAATGAAATTTTTCCAAGGTCAAATCTGATCTTTTCTTCGTTCCTTACCTTGGGTATATCACGCTGCGTTGATATCGCCAACCGAATGCAAGAGGGACAGAATCGATGACTAATTTTTCCTGGACATTCCGGATCCGGTGGTGGATTCTCAAATCGAGCACTTTCAGGATCATATTTCATTTGATAAAAGAATGTCTTACCATCTGTATCTTTTATATCATTATCTATATCCACATTACCTGTAATATAAAAAAAATTGTGTAAATGCGATTATGTAAATACAGTGACAAAACATAAAAAAAAAAAAATGTGGGTGATGTGTGGGCTGCATCGTGTTACAGAATACCAAACCAATGGCACGTATAAATTTCTTAGTTAGATTTACCTGACGTTAAGGACTTGATAGTTCTATCCACCCCAGCATTACTTTTATTATTATTAATATTACTTGTGTAGCACTTGGCTCCATATAACAGCACGCAGAATCAAATATTCTAATAATAATCTAATATTCTTACCTAATTCAAACCAATTATCAGGCATCTTTTTATTGATAACCGTTGCCTTTGATCTAACAGACGTAAACGATGCTTCGCAACATTGTTCACTTAGGAATAATTCTATAGGATCCGAAGTTTCACCAAGTATGGTATCGGTGCCTCTATAAAGACGGTTTGCGTGAAATCGTTTTTCTCCAAACGCGTTCTCCCACATAAACACAATTTTGCAAACTTGTATAGGAATTGTGGGATCTCTAGGCTCCAACAAGACATGTTCGTTTATTTCGATTTTTTCGTTCCCAACTATTACTGATTTATAGTACGTTTTATCCCCATCGACACGTTTGTCTTTCTTCTCCCATATTATATCTTTCTTAATTAAAAGTTCTTTAAAATCTTCATTTTTATTAAGATTTCTTTCTTGATCTTGTACTGTTTTATCTTCTGTTAGATCATCATATTGCTCTTCACTCTCTGGATCAGAATCTTCTGCTTCCTTTATAAAGAAAATATATCTTTAACTGAACATTATAATATAAATTTCGAATATTAAAAAAAAATGTTAATCTATTTTTAAAAATATGTTTTAGTTTTTATATAATCAGGAGATAAATAATACGTGCACGTAAATCTTTACATTTAACAAGTGTAACGTATACCTGAATTGCCAAATTTGGACATCTTCTTCTAATGCATGCTTGCCTTTGAATTCCTTTGCCTCCAAATTTCGGCATATCTTTACAAGCATGACAAATACCACATTCGGGTTGCTGACAGTTGTCGCAAACACCGCATCGCCTCCTTTTTATTAATGACTGACAAAAGAAAAAAAATGATTAACAATATAATACAGATAAAAAAGATACTACACGTGTTGTGTAACATATGGCACGACATACCTTATTAGTAGTATGCTTAGCAAGTTGACCAGCAAAAATATTTTCAAACATATTGCTAACTAATTTTGTCGTAGTAGCCATTGACCAGACAGGCGTTTTAACTTTCGGCTTACGTCTCATTGGACGAACGGCCGATTTCTTACCGAACGTGACGCCAGAGAGATTCATGAGAGATCGCATACATGGAGCCGTAATGAGAAGAGTATCGTCAGAGCCAGCACACGTATCTAGTGAAAAAACTTGATCGCAAATAAATTGTGCATGACGTAACAACGAATCTTCTGTAAACTTCATGGTTTCCTTAGGCGGTACTACTGTCTGCAACGAGACAAGAATAATAAAACCTACATGTTCAGAACAACGATGGAAATACGGAAATAATAAAAACATATTGAGATATGAAATAACAAACTTACTTGAAGCTTATTCAATAAGTCTTCGTAGGTTGACGTAACGTCATCTAGCAAAAATTCTACGACTACTTTGCTCATATATAATTTCTCTTTAACAGCATCCATGTACGGTGCATAAGCTTCCGACGGCTCCATCAAAATATATTCCGCGAATGCAGTACTAAAACCTACTAATGCCAATTCTCCTCCGTCAAATCCAGTGACATACCATTCATTAATTGGCCCCATATCTTTTGTCGGTATACCTCCCTCGGGCGAAGAATTTTCCTCATAAATAGCTTTCATATATCCAGAAAAATATAACAGTATGTTTTTCTCTATGAGTCCTGTGTCGAAAGAACACAGGTGCCCATTCAAATCATAAACACTAAAAAAAATCACTTTTTTATATTAGTTTAACTTTAGTGCGTACCTATACGTTTCTTAATATCAATATCGCTCTCAAGTACTCCTGCTCTACAATTTTGAGAGAACGAGAAACTAAACATATAAAAGACATGAAGATTTACCTAAAATGAGTTAATTTATTTTGCGGTCTCTCATCACTTTCGTCTATAAAAGATTCATCTCCAATAAATAAGCACAGCTTAGGATCTGTTAAAGCTATCTGTTCTTCGACCGCACCATTTGGATGCCCTTGATACAATGTTAACGTATTCAACATCTGTTTACAGTACAGGCATCGCTCTATCGCAACAGATGTCTTTTTATCTTGAGATTTTAATTTAGACATCTTTTCGTTCGTTCCTGTCTTTATTCTCTTTTCCGGATTTTCTGTCCGTTCCTCTTGATTTGTTTCCGGCGCGTGATTTTCTTTATCAAATTCCAGGGAACGTCTCGGGGTTTCATCCGTTTCGGTGTTCATTTCACCAAGATCGAGCACCCGCGTCCCCTTATTCGTTTCACTCGCCCTTCTTTTTACCGCGGGGTCTGACGTACGTTCGGAATCAACGTCAGCTTCTTCACGTACTCCATCTACGTCTTTATTGTTTTTCCCGTTGCTTCGAAGCATTTTATTTCTGCTGCAACCTGGTTCGCTTTCTGTAACAACAGTCAAAGTGGCACAAGTTTACGTTGAAGGAAAAACAAAGATACATATATGACACATGATTTAATTATTAGTTAGTTTACCAACACGTTGGAACAACTGGCCCTAAGAGCAATATTCATGAATAAACGGTATTCGTATAATTTGATTTTATATTTTAGATAGCAAACAAAAGTAAAACAAGCAAAAGTTGGAGTGGCCGACCGGCCACAGTCTACAGTGACCACTTTCAAGCTCAACGTTCTGTTGATATTTATATGGTGATCAATGTTGTGCACCTTTGGATAACTTTCAATATAAAATCAGATTATACCATATATACGAAACGAACACTGCCTTTTATTTAAGAAGAGACATTAATATATTTCCTTTTCCCTTTATCATTCTACTTGGTATACATATTCCCAGCAAACATTTTAGTTGTGAAATGTTGCCAAAAGGGAAACAAATGCGCAAAACCAGAGTCTACTATGTAGCGTATCCTCAATGTTGGTCTCTAATGTGAACCAAATCTGACAACATGTTCCGCAGTCAACGTGACAACACCAGAGCAACGCGAACAAAACAGCAACACAAAGGCTGTTGCATATTGACAAAAGTGCGTATACGTTCTTGTCAATATTTGCAACTGCAGAAAATGTTATAGGGGTTGTCTTATACTACGGCAACTAATGGCAACTAATCTGGCTGGGTTGTCAAGAAAAGAAATGCAAATCTCGTAGTGACAGCTAAGTGAGCGCGCGATTCCTCACCCCGTGGTTCATCTCTCGATCGCCGGGTAGCGACCTTACGCTTGACCGCGCGATGCCCACCGCGAACCATCGCGATAAGAACAGGAGCAAACAGGAGGGACTGAATAGAGAGCAAAGAGCTTGAAGAGGACTGAGGACTTGAGGAGTATTCGCTGTTGACTGAAGTTCCTAGTCGCCGGGTGGATCCGTTGACGTTGACGTTGACGTCTTCGCGCAGGACGCGCACTGTGTCACTGTGTCACTACTGTCACTGTGTCCTGCGGTGATGCGGTCCAGGCGGTCCTGGCTCCCTGCTGGTACGTTCCCGCCAACATTGGGTAATGGAAGTAGAGGATATCAGCTATCAGCCAGCCACGCGGCACGTTTTCGCGCCAGGCGCCTACGCGGAAACGACCGCGACGCTACTAACGGTTAACTAACCTAACCTCTCGTAACAACACTCACACACAGGGGTGTGTGTGCAGCTGATGCTGAGTGCTGACTGGTGCGTGCGCGCTGCGTTCTAAAATTCACTCTAGGTAACTCAAATCTGTAGTTTACGTCACGTATACTATAGCATTTTACACGTAGTTGACTAGAGTGATTTTTGGAACGCGGCCCTGTAGCGCGGCAAGAAGCGACGCGGTAGCCAATCAACGTGTTGCTTTTCCGTAAGAACCAAAAGTTTCGTGGCTACCGCGTTGCTTCTTGCCGCACGGCAAGCGTTTCCGCGTCCTGTGTGCAGAAGCCCGAATGCTAGGTCTACAATGCGAATCGTAAAGTCGTGAGTCGTAAGAATTGACCAATCACAATCGAATTTGAGAAGAATACGCGACTGTGCGTGGTCAATTCTTACGACTCACGACTTTACAACTCGCCGTGTAGACCTAGCATTACAGAATAGGGGTACTGCGCAGTATCCTTATGCTAGGTCTACAGTCTACAATGCGAGTCGTAAGACGTGACATTGACCACGCACAGTCGCGTATTCTCCTCAACGTCGCGTGTGCGTGGTCCATTTCCTACGACTCACGAGTCTCACGACCCACGACTCGCATTGTGGACCCCGCATTAAGCTGGCCACACACACTTTTTCGTAACAGTAACAGTAGGATTTCGACCAATCGTGTTACTCGATTTGGGAACGTACGGTCGTACGTTTTCGAATCGAGCAACGCGATTGGTCAAAATCCTACTGTTACTGTTACGAAAAAATGTGTGTCCGGGGCCTTAAGGCCTGGTCTACAATGGATGTTGTAAGTCGTAAGTCGTAAGAATTGGCCAATCACAGTGCATTATTCTTCGACCGCAAGGAGAATAATGAACTGTGATTGGTAAATTCTTACGACTTACGACTTACGACTTACAACCATTGTAGACCGGGCCTAACTTGCTCGCTGAGCGGTTGAACGTTGAACCGGTTGAACGTGCGTGGTTGGATCCATAATGGAGGATTCACATTGCGTCCGACATCCAATAAGAAATTTTTGTCTCTAATAATAAATTCTGTTGTTGGATGTCGGATCGGGATAAGGGGGGAACATAAGAATACCTCAGGAAAGAAATCATTGGCGGCGACTGTACGTCGAACATCGGACGCA